CGCGTATGAAAATGTTTATTTCCTGACAATATTTAAAATATCAATATGTCAGTTGTGTCGCGTTCTAATGGTTTGATCAATCGTAAGTTATGCAAAGCGCTTAAAAAAAGATTATTGCTCAAAACACGCCTTTACTTTCGTACGATGACAAACATTCTTATAACATAGGTGTTTGAACAATGATCAATTTTTATATATTTCTATAAACTTACCACTCATGTCCAAAATTACGTCAACGCAATTTTGGAAAATTTGCATAAATTCAAAATATTTGTTCAGCTGTATCCGAAAGTGGTATACTTCAGGGTAATAACAACCAACTGAGCGTCGAACAATAGGCGCTTCTCCGCAATTGAATGTCATTTGCATAACCGAGAACGACAAAATTGGGGATTTATGCGCAAGTTTGAGGACGATATAGTGGAAACAAAGTTGATACAACACTGCGTGTTAGGAATTAGTGTATAACTAATGATGAACACTATACAAAACCATGAATTTGCAATTCCAACTTAAATGAATATATAAGTATACAATACAAAATTACAAAAGGAAGTACGACGTGTGCTTTGAAAAGAAGATGGCGATCTCTCATTCCTGAAACTGTTAGTTACATCAAGTGCTGGTGGCGTCGTCTCAACGACTCGATAAGTTTTTATACCAGATGTACATAACCAAAACACCTGATTATATTGAATTTAAAATTATATATTTATTATTTTAAATATTTTAGTAGTAAAGATGGTCATGCATTTTCCTATTGGCATTTACATTCTATATTTGATGCCTCATCCCATATCTTCTTCATGCAAATATAGGATCCTTGGTATCTGTTGGTGCTCAAGATTGATGAAGCAAATCATGTTCGGTTGGATATATCAAATTTATATTCTAAGTAAATGAATATCAAGTTATCAGGAATGTGAAGATGTTAGGTTTAATCAACGATGTACTAAATTTTATGTTCATGCAAAGTATTCTTGATGTTCAAGTAGATGGCTATAAGACCGATTCAAGCGGATTTGTTGAAACATATATATTCAGCTGTCGCCGACGGAGCAGGAAAAAAATATTCATAGAATAAAATGGGCGTTTACTGGGCTGGCTAATACATGAGCAAACATTAGTCTGTAACATCATAGCTGTTCAAAGTATAACAACTTTTCGTTTAATGATGTCAACAAATTTGTGCTATGATCCAACAATATCATTTCACCTTATAGTATAACTTTGCTCAAAATGTTGACATGACATCAAATGTTAAATATAGGATTCTTTTTTTTTTCATATCCATTTACTGAAAATCGTCAAAACCATCATCTTGATCATCATTGAAATTTCAACCTCATTCTACTCACCGTTTCGGATTAGCACATCTTTAGTATTGAATTGATGTTATTTTATTTTGAAATGTATTAAAAGAGAGAACAAGGCGAAAAATATATGAACACGATGGTCAAAATGCCACAAGCTGGATCAATTTTTATACTCCGCAAAATTTAAAGAGGGAGTAGAAGCGACAACGAATAATTAACAACAAATTAAATCAATGGCGTTCTCGAAAACTCGTCTCCATTTATCTGCTGTAAATTTTAAAGCAACTGATGTTCTTTTTGAAAAAAAAAGCATTTTTAACTTAGAAACAACAGCAATTCAGAATGATACATATGTCCACTTCTTGTCCAATGACTAGGAAATCCAATGTTCCAAATTGCTGAATAGTCAATTGCTTTGAATATTGTTTATTCCCTTATTGAAAAGTCAATTTACGGAAGACAATTTTTTTCAAATCCTCTTAGTTCCGATTCGCGTGTGTTCAACATAGATCACTCAAATAAAAAAAACGGGAGATCAGTTTCATTACCGCGAGAAGGCAGCAAAAGTGAACTAAATCATAGGAACGCTTTATTAGACACGGAGTGACCTACGAGTCTTTTTGTTATCGTGTTGTTCTTGTTCTTTATTTTTTTATTCTTCCTGCCGTTATGAAAAAAATTGCTTTTCTTAATTACTGACCCAATTGCTCTAAAATTTTCAGTGGTTTAAGATTGTATTTTTCGCTAGACGGCGATTTCTCAAGCTGGTTGTGAATATATATCTGAGTATGGCTGTATATATAGCCTAAGGCAAATACCGACCCAATTGTTCTTTTAGAACATTATGTTGAAAATAGTCTATTTAGTAACAAAAAATGGACTATAAAACAGGGACAGTCTTTGAAAAATTATAATAACATGAGTGCCTTAAAGAAAAGTAAATGTACGGCACTTTGGCAAAATTTGGATGTAACCACAAATACTTTGAATAGCATTCGCCGCTTTGAAAGATTTGATTACTGTTTTAGAGGCAAAAACATTGCAATCAAATGCTCTGGATTATTCAATTCAAAGGAGTATGTGTTTGCACACTGACGCCGAACACCGCAATCAACTTTATCCAGGGTATATAGATGAGCCACTTTGAATTAGTTGATCAGCTAGCTAATGACGATATTTGCCTTAGGCAAGAAGACGTTCTATGATGCCGCTAGGTGGCGAGAGGTAATTTTGCTAGCGTGTTGTGAATCATGACCAAAAGCGGCAAGTGCATTTTCAGGTATTTTGTGGCATCTAGAGCTGCCGCAAAACCATGGCGGGAATTCCAAACCATGGCCGATGACCAAACCCACGGCTAGTCGGCCACTGACTTAGCTGCCACAAACCAATAGCGAGCTGCCGTGGTTACGGCAGCAAATCGAATGCCACCAATTTTACTGCCGTAACCACGGGTGTAATAGCAGGGCTGCCCCTGATGGTGATAAATATTGGGTAAGTTGGAACGCTTTTCTTATTAATACAGTTTTGATGTATTTGGGGTTAGTTTCGGGTTTAAGTAGATATAATTCCGCTTGATAAACTAAAATACTGTACATGACTTTGTAAATATACCGGTAACAGCGCGATAAAACCATGGCAAGAGACGCCGCGATACGTTCGTGGCAAGAGCTGCCATGAAGTCGCAGGAACTGCGCCTCAAGCGTGGAGGAATGCAGATAATTATTGGGATATGTAATGACGTGCCGGGTGTTTTAAAAAAAACTTTTTTACGCGTCGTTTTTTATGAAGATCAAATAACAATGAATCCGATAATTTGTTGAAAGAAATGCCCTGTCAGATTGAAAAACTTGTGTATTATTAACATTTATATATATATATATATGTGTTCAATATAACGTTGCTACGTATGTGTATTTCCTATCATTTTATTTATCAGTAATTTATAAATGCCTGTTATTAATGAATTGAGTTGTGCAATTATGCTTTGGCATTTATTTTGTAATGCTAATTGCAAAGCGAGTTGAATTGAGAATATCACAAAATGAAATATGACAATGCCTATTCCATGAAACACAAATCACAAAACGATCTTCTGACACATCTGGCTTTTATATATTTTCAGACTATGAGCAAATTGGAATGTTGTTAGGGCATTTACTGAGCTAATCAAGCATGGATTTTAGACGAAATTTTGAGTGATTGAGCACTATTGCATCGCACGCAATAAGGATAGTATTAAAGGACAAAAAATCGCATTAAAAACTGTATTTACCAAAAAAATAGTGAACGTGTTAAATCTATATTTTGATTTTTATTACACATACCATAATAGAAGTTTTTTTTATCTAAGCGCAGGTTTATCCAGTATTAAATCACATTTTGATCTTAAAAGTGATCGATTGATAACGTCGTGATATGTGGTGGCACTTTCATTGATTTTCGAACATGACTAATGAAACGTAAAAAGTAGTGGTATTTTTATAACTAAACAGTCGATGAATGTATTATACGTCACGTCTACTAACTTCTGTTTAGTGAAAATATATACATGTTGTCCGTCGGTGAATGGACATACTGTCATACTGGTTACCTGGCTTTGATATATATTTAAAATCTTAAAGACCTATAGAAATAATATTGTGTTGAATGAAAGTTTGAAGCGTCTGAAGGACTTTTATCAAGTTTATACTGACAAGTGACACCATCAGGTAAAAATGCATTGCAGTATTCAATAGTTGAACATCTAGAAGTTATGATCTGTCAATAAATGTGAGCTTGTGTGGTCAAAAAGGTACCTCGGAAGCCGTTGGAATTTTACATGGTCTGCATACACAGAGAGAGAGAGGCACACGAGATTTACCACCGGGCAAAGAAAGCTGAAGCCTAGGGGCCTAGAAATTCAACTTTGAACTATTCTTTATTTTTAGGTCATTTTTAAATTTGAAGAATTTTTTCAACATAAACCCGATTCGGAATTTTATAAAACTGATATTTGTATAAAGTTTTAATCGGATTAATGTTATTAATTGAACACGTCCCAAATATACTGATTTGAATTAATTGAACAGTTTTGACTCAAATAACGCCTTCAGTTTTTGAACAAGGTTAGATAATATCCATATACAGCTATACTAATTTATCTAAGCCAAAACAAATCCAAGAACTATAATATTTTTTTAATATTTCAGAATCTTTTCCTATAGACCCGTTTATTTGAAAAACGGAATGGTAATTTTATTTATTACTAATGTTTTATTTGTCAGTAATTAGATCATGCCCCCATTCCATATATCCTACTAACGTCACAATAAAAAGAGGCTTCACAAATGGCATAGCCCATCTATAATAGAGCCTCCCATTTTATAAATCCGGCCCTGTGTACATGGGGATCGTGCGGAAACTTTCGAAGTTTTCTACCTCCTAGGTCAAATTATAGCATTTTATAGCCCTCGAGCTATAACTTTCGTTACACAAGATATTTCTAACCCGCTATAAGTTCAATTGAAATAAATTGCAGAAAATTATGAAGCCATTATAAAGAATTTGTTCGGTGCGGCTATCCCACACTAACTTCTAAGGATACTGTATATTGCTAATTAGCAATTTGTAGTGACTGCTAAATGTAGAATATTTAGTTATTTATGTAAGTATATTGTTTTTTTATCTATAGCATTACGATAAGCTTTGACATAAAAATGCCTGAAATCATTGCATATCCTCATATCTCGAGAGTGGACAATGAAATTCAGATGAAAGTTATAAATTGTGAAAAGTTTCAGAAGATAACTATTCGCCTAGAAGAAGAATCACACAGATGGTACCATGCCAGTGCTCATTACGTATCCGATAAAGATGGCCAGGTCGACGTTTCTATCGATGAATCAGTTGGAGGCAGCTACGTGGGCATTGAAACCATGGGGTTATTCTGGTCAAAAGAGAAAATGACAAACAAAAAATTATCCGTAGCATTTGATGGTATTAAATTCAAGATTTATTTGAGCGTTTTCGACGGTCATTTAAACTTTGAACAGCAGACAGATTTGTCTAATCACAAGTCATTAGCCTCAATCACGATTGAAAGAAGATTTGCAGACTCGAATATTTCATGTAGTCTAGTTAGGTATGGAGATTTGAGAGGTTTTTTGTACGTACCTAATGAAAAGAGGCAATTTCTGGGCGTGATCGATGTTGGTGGTTTAACAGGTGGAACAATGAACGAACGAGCATCCCTTCTGACAAGCAATGGATTCGTTACGTTTGCGCTGAGTCTATTTGGAGGTTTCGATCAACCTAAAAATGTTTCTGAAATTGATTTAACTTATATAAAAAGGGCAATAGATTATCTATTGTCCCATGACAAAGTACAAAAAGAAGGAGTTGCAATTATTGGTATTTCACTTGGAGGAACTATAGCTCTTGCCGCGGCTGGATGCTTGCCGAAAATAAAATGTGTTGTGAACATAACTGGACCCATCACCGCATGCGCAAATATAAATTTAAAATATGGAGACAGAAAGTGGAAAGCAGCCGAAGACAAAGAAGAACTTGCTAGATTCATTACGGACACAGTCCAAGACCGGAGATACGTCCTGCAAATTCCAGACTATTCCGATATTAACAATCATATTCCGCCCTTCCACAAATCCAAATCGTCTATACTCTTTATATATGGAGAAGACGATGGTTTGATAAGATGGCAAAATCATGCTAAACTAGCAAAAAAGATGCTTGAATCGACAAATAAAGTAAATTACAAAATGATCATCTATCCCGGAGCAGGACACTTATTAATTATACCGTATGCGCCTGTGATATCAAAAGGTTATCTGTCTCGTAGTTCACGATATGCTTGGTTTCAGGGCGGGAAATTGCCGGGTCATGCCAAGTCACAAATTCAGGCTTGGAGGGATATAATTGAATTTTTAAAACAGAATTCAATACCATTGTCTCGAATATAATAAATCCTGGCGGTGAAGTCATCGATTTCTGTAGATTTTGATCACAGGCCCATTTTCGGCCCAAGTTTATTTACGGAATACGCTCGCCACCGCACCTCTAATTACTCTGCGTGGGTTCGCAGGTTCGAATCCCATGCAGGGATGGTTATGTGTGAGAGGATTGCTGGACTCCTCGCCGTCGTTGGGTGGTTCACGTAACCGCTGAATGTATGTTTATTCAAAAAACATTAGATTAAATATGTATAGTATGGTCCCATATATAGACAGTTGTGACCGGACGAGAGGCCGTGGTTCGCCATATGGATAAGCCGTCTTATCGGCTTTCCTCTCCCCCGGGATAAATATGTAAATCCTAAGAGAAGACATAAGTAATAGATACAGCCATCAAATAGAGTAAGACCAGGCTACAAAATTTTTTTTCTAGCTTTCGTCAAAGCAAAATCATGCAAAAGTTCATCAAAATTTATATGTTAAGTTTGTCACTCTCAATGCAGACAACCTTTTTTGAGACATTGTCGATCTCAGTTTATTTTTGATGCTTTTAAGCTTTTGCTTTTGAGAAAGAGGGTTTAAACTCGTCACGTTTTGAAGACAATTACAAACTTCGAAACCGAATTTTGAGGCCCCTGGACGTTGAGGCCCTAGGCTTCAGTTTGCCTAGCCTATTGATAAATCCGGCCCTGGACAGTAGTAAACCAATATATTATTCTATTCAATGTATAGAATTCCCTCGATTCATCCGAAATTTATTGAAACTTTGATTGTTAGTTTTTATGTGCAACACTTGGACTGCATTCAAATTTTGGTATCTGCATGTATGCGTGTTCTAGGTTCGTTTGTTTTGCACTCTATATTCAGGTGGTCTCGATTTCTATTTCTTCTCATATTCTTTCAATGATTCCTTTACTTTTCCGTTGTATTTTAATTACTGTTAGACTTTATCACAAGTGTCGCCGCTCGATAACCAGTATTGGTTTCTCGCGACTCCTTCCACCCCGAATTACCGTTTTTGCTTCTTTTTACGTTCTGTATTCATTTAGTGAGTTTCATTTATGGTGAAAAAATAAACTACTCATTACTACAAGTAATTCAAACTATGTTGAAAAATTGCAATTGAAATGCTTAAGTGGATATATTTCAGCAAAAAAGTATATACTGGTAATCAAATTTGTACAAGTAAGCAGTATATTTAATAACAAAAAAGCGCATTACAAGGTGACCTTTCAATTTGAAATAAAAAACGATTTGGAAGATTCTTTGGATTCAGCATTTGAAAACTAAACAATATTCAGTTTAATTCAGAGGAAAATTCTAATGAATTTGATTATAAGTATACCTTAATTTTATCAAAACTTCTGGCATTGAATTTTTTTTCGAAATATAATGAAGTTAGAAAATATTTACCTCTTTAGAATTACTTCTGATCCACGGAGAACTGAACCTATGCTGTAGTTTTATGAACTGTTCTTCGAAAGGACAAAAATTTTAAGTTTCATGTAAGAAAAAATTATTTGCTTCGAAGGAAAGATAGTTTAAAATCTATATAATTGGGAACAAATACGAATAATAATCAACAACAACAAACCTGTCATGAAATATCAATTTCTTTAGAATATGAATTCATTCAAATTCAATATATAGGAAAAAGTCAAAATTGTGCCAAAATATATTTATGCATGCACTATAGTCCTATAAAAAATATAAATGTGAAACGATTTATGTTACAAGCAACTACAAACAATAATGGCAAAGGCACGCCATAACTAAACCTGATTTCCAATATACAAAATGCTTCTTTTTACCAATTTGTAAAAAGCAATGAAATATAAAAAAAATTGTACCGCCATGAGTGAAGAGATTGCTAAGCAAAAAATAAGTGCAAGTTTGTGAAAATATGAATATAACATCAAAACTTTGAAACTAAGCTTGTATATAAATTATGGTTCTATTGTGAAGGTAAAATGAATTATTGGGGGCTTGGGGCAAGGCTACAAAGCAATGAAAAATTCACCAATATATGAACTAATTATTTGAAAGTAATCCTCACCCGTTTACTTGTTGTAATTGATATTTATCAAGAACAAGTAAACTGTCACAGAATACATATATAGCCGTAAAACATATCATAAGCAAATTCTGGATATCTAATTCTATCACTTCCGATCAGACACAAAGAGAATTATAAATAACAGCAAGACAAAAAGTATATTAGTAATATTGATTATGAATATAACAATATCAAAGTAAATAACAAGAGAGAAAACATGCACACTATAAACAATGAAACAGTATCAGATGGTAAGGCACTATCACATGCAAACATGATCAATATTATATATCATTATAAAAATCTAATAATGTAAGGGTATTTTAACCAGAAAGTGCAATGCCTCTGTTGCAATAATCATCATCTAACTATAGATTGACATATGTTAAGGAAGCCTCTTCTTTCCATGTAAATATGAGATATGTAGGAACAATATAACATCAGCACCAGCACCGGGCCATTTTTTTATGAGTGAATTAACAAAATTATCAAGACTACATCTCCATTGTGAACATAAATCAGTTATATTTGGCTTTGGAAGATGATAAATCAATCACAGTGTGATATGACAATTCCACGATTCATCTCAATCTGTCATAGTACTCGACAGCTTGTTCATAATATTCTTTGGCGAGATAATAACTCAATGTAGGAGGGATTTCATGTGAGCTGAAAAATAAAGGTAAATAGCAAAACCAAGTCGACAATAATAACATCAATTTGGCTATTCTTGTCAAACTCTGCAGGGTAATTCAGCAGTGATACCGTAAATGAGTTCCTCACATGAGATGAAACGTGAATCATCCATAAAAACATGCACCCCACCGTTATTAGTAGCGTATCAAGGAAATCAGGTCATTGACAACAAATTGATGCTCACCAGGATCCATTACAGAAGTTGACAGTTAATCCCATATCACTGATGCCTGTGACAAATCCTGGTAAATAAGTTGCATTCTGTAAATCTGGTATAGCAAGAATATGATCTCCTGAATGAAAAAGTCCAAAATAAATGTAATGACATGGAAAATGAACTATGTATGACTATGGAAAAAGGAAAATGAATACATACAATAAAAACAGTGCACTATAAGTGTAAGTTTCATAAATAAGGATTTGACTGAACAAACCAACGTTTTTCAACTAATCATGACTAAGCGACCAATAGTGACAACTATCAGTGACTAAGTCAATAGTTGTGACATGAATGCTTTTCAATCACTGATCAAAAGGCATAGATCACAGGTCAGCAACCTTTTGCTTTGAAAGAGCCAATTGGCATCCTTTCCATCAAACTCAAACCCACTCGGAGCTGCAACATCTGGTCCAATATCAGTGGCTATTAAAATTCACAGAGAACAAATTATGATGCAATAATCTAGTTCTTACTAAGAACCTAAAGGGAATATGAATGATGCAATAACTTTGTCTATAGCGAAATCAAAATAACTGATGAAATTAAAAAAAAAGTTTGTTTCGAAGGACATGCATCATCTTAATGCGACCCATTTTTACCACTTGAAACCTATAGTTTGGAAACCGCGGTGATGTGTAATTAGTGAGAAATATGGGCTTCAAGTCTCCCGTTTCGTTGAATCCCTACTACTTCGAACAAAAAACTGCTGTAACTACTTCAATTTCAAGTTGTATTTTTGTTTACACAATTATAAGATTTAAATTTTTGAATGCCTACACTGGATGAGAGTCATTGTATAATTTGAATCATTGTATGAGACTGTTCTTAGATTTAAAAAAAAATGTCCATGTCATCGTGTGTATTGATCTGTGGCCTGATATAAACAGAAATGCGAGTCAAACAGACACCACTTACCTGTTTCAAAATCATGTTTTCGACTGAGTGCTCCGAACATATGAGCCAGGTATTGTTCACTTGTAGTTCCATCAGACCATTGCAGGGTGAATCTACGAGTTCTTCCAATCCTTCGTTTGCAGAAAGCTACCAAACATGAGAACAAATTAGTGAAAAAACAACTTACTGCATCAAATACATGTGTAAACAAGCATAAAAACTGTAGCATGAATAAAGGATGTTTTATGACAGTGACAAGAATTGCTGGTTTCACATACATAGGATTTTAAAACCAGTACTCAATCTAAACAAAGTTTTTTTTTTGTAGAAGAATATTTGTATTTGGTTGTTGAAAAAGGGGTACTCCCGTAGTATGTGTACCAGGTTAAGGTTAGGCCATAACTTTATTTCGATTTTCCTTATTTACTTGATGTAAAGTGGGCGAACAAAATTAGTTATCTCCATATTGGTACACATACTTCTGGACCGCCAAAAAAAGAATGTGTAGATTCATAGTCATTGATGACCTTTGTAATAAGAATAAATGAATCACCTATTTAATTCTATACATAGTGGTTAACCTTGTAACAGAATGATTACCACTTAATTAATTCAAAAATAAAAGAAAATGCAATATATGGTATACAATTGAGAAAAGAAAAGAGAGCTCGTTGTTGGTGGTTACATATCAGCAAAAATGTTCTCTCAGTGCGTTTTTGTACACAATTGATAAGCACTACCATTAGTCATAATTGAAGCTGGATCAAGTTGATGACACACTGGTAAGAGGTTGGCTATCAAAGTCAATGAGTATATTTGTATCAGCCTCATTGCTATTTCTGAAAGAAACACAACCGCATCCATACTTCATGATATAGCATAATAAATTTACCCAGGTGATATAGTCCATCAGCATCATTTCTGGCAACAACAGCTTGTCCTTCCCATCGCTGTTCACATTGATCTATGTATGCAATGTTGTCCTCATATTTTAAATTAGTTATCAAATAAACCTGAAAAACATGAATAATATTCAGTAAAATAACATAGATAAAGCTATATCGAAAATAACTAATACTTCTAGGTCTTCTTTTTTTTGATATACAGATAGGTGATATATAATTTCATGTATGGATGGAAGTACATAAATTGCGAAACCAATTTTAAACCTGTTAAATCTGTTTAAATGTGTCAAATCCAACCAAACTGTAACGAAATTCTAGATAAAGCGCAATAAAAATCTATGTTTTAATAGACAGATACCAAAATAGACTAAATAAATAATTTTAAATATTCCAGCAGTGAAATAATTTGCTTCTATCAAGGATGGGATAGGATTTACATATTCATCCCGGGGAGAGGAAAGCCGATAACATGGCTTAACCGTCCGGTTACCATTCCATGTCGGGCATGGGATTAGTTAGTTATTTGTTTTCGGAAGCGTGGACTTGATGGTGGAGGAAGCCGTAACCAACCAGCAGTTACGTGAACCACCCTACGGCGGCGAGGAGTCCAGCAATCCTCTCGCACATAACCATCCCCGCATGTGATTCGAACCTGCGAACCCACGCAGAGTAATCAGAGGTGCAGTAGCAAGCGTATTCCTAGCGCTTAGCATGATGAGCCACACCTCCGCGCCAAGCAATAGTCGAATATATCATGTCATAAATAATATAACACAATACCTCCTCTCGTGGTAATACAGATTCTGAATCATCATAAAATTTGACATAATATTTCAAATTCTCAACAGTAAGTACAATAGCTGGTGCGTAACTGTGAAGATATGATGGATGTAATGCAACAATACGATGATGAGCCTGTAATGCAATAATGTATACATAATCTTAATGCTTTATATAATAATGTTTATCAATAACTAGTAATACACAATTATAAAATGAATTGGAAACTAAATGTAACATTGGGAAGTTGAAAAAGTGATTAGTTCGAGTCAATTTTCCTTTTTCAAGAAATATAAATATAGAATCTTTATAACTAGAGTTATTATATATAATTAAGCATAAGCCATTGTTGCTAATGCATGGTGAATCATTTTGTGACAATCATTTTTTTAACATCAAAAGTTGCATAAAATAGTCGGTACAATCAGTAGAGTATTTTTTCAACATAGGTACGAAAAATGCACGAAATGTAGTGTATGAGTGTGGCACAGCACAGTGGCATGATGCCTGGGTGTCGGAGACGATTTCAAGTAGTTTCTTTTTCATTTATTCACAAGTTATTATAGACCCCAGGAGAATCGAAAGTCGGCCCCATAAAGTTCATGTTTATGTTTGTCCCACTTTTGACAGAAAACTACCCAAAAATCATAGTCAACTTACTGTAATTTTATTCTTGGCATCTTCTTCATCTAATATTACATTGTCTCTCGATACTCTCGAAATTGAATTATTAGCATCAGTCACATCATATTGTCCATTCCCATAGATATTCTTAATTGTTCCACTACAAAATGGAGTATTAGAGTACAAAAGGTAAAAACATAACAGGTATAAACATAACATTCGATAAATATCTTTGACTAAACGGTAGCACATTCCAAATGCAAGAAGTAAATAAAAAATTGCGCAAGGCACAAGAGTTTTCACTTTCTATTCACACCCTCACATTTGCATAAAACTATAAACAAACAGCGGCTCAGATGCATGGAACTACTAAGCAAAACAGCATAAATTTTTGGGCATAATCAACCTTAATTGTAGCATTGGTGGGCTTTATTACATAAACTTATGATGACAGGGTTCCAGTTCAATTTAATGTCTTTGATGACATATTCATAATATAAAGCTGAGAGCCAAGTGCAAAACAAAAAATTTCATTCCTATATAAATGGTATTTTTGCTTGAATTTACTGTAAACTATGCTTTGATTGAAATTATCCACAATACCCATGGTTGTCTGAGTATTTATATATATGAATATATATCTACTGTTGCCACATTCCCAAGGAGTGCAAAATAAACCTACCGATAATACCAGCCATCATCATCAAATTTAGCCAAAACTTCTTGACCAATTTCAAGTGGAGCTCTAAAGTCATTAGGATGGTGACGAGCTGAAGCAACAGAAAAATAAATGATATAACACATTACTGAAAAAGAAAATATGGATACAAATAATTATCATTTAAGACTGATCAAAACATGCATGATTTTTTGAAAATTGGTTGAATCATATTTTCTTACAGATCGAAAATTATTGAAATTGTGAAAATTAACAATAATTAAGCATGCAAAAACTGGACTCACAAAGTACTACACCTGTATCCCCATTTGTGATAGTGACCGCTTGATTTTCTTTGTCCAAACTAACTTGTATTGGTTCTTGTACCGGTTCTTTTACTAAAATGAAAACATGAAATTTTAACTGACTAAAAATCAAAGAAAGTTAAGAGCAATCTACAAGTAATTCAGATCAAACCTATCTTAAAATAGGTGAGATTGTGAACCTCAGAATACTGATGACAGAAATATACATTTTTCATTGGAATTCACCAATAGGTCAGAGAAAATAAGATCGAGAGTCGCAGCCTTAATTAAGTCTTCACTAGTTGGTGTTCCAACACAATCATTTTATTTTTCATAGTAGCAAAACCACAAGTGACATTCAAGCAAATATTGTAAAACTGAAGCTATGCAAAATCAGATAAAAACATCAAAGATAGAAAAAACACTTCAATGCAAGGTGGCGTGATTAGGATTAAATCCTAGTTTTCAATTTTTTTTTCTTAAATAAAATATGATAATTTTACATTTCACAAAAAAACTAATAAACATACCCTTTTTCACAACCTCTGGCTCACTTTGAACCCTGCAGATAAAATAAAATCAATAAATAAAATGGTAACCATAAAATTAAGAATCAGACAACAATATTTAGTGATTGCAATATTTGGTAAAGACCGCCAAAATTATGTTTGAATAACGGTAAGATCATCTACCCAATATCGCGAACTGAAGCGTCTTGCTGTGGAATAGGTGATGTCATTCTGTCTTCAACATGAATTATTTCTTTCACAGGAGTCGGGATTGGCTTTGGAGAAGATTTCTGTGATGAAAAATTATCATTCAAAATAAACTGGTAAAGCAAATTGAAAATTAATTAATAAATTCTTGTTTGCGGGAAATATTTTATAAAACACAGCGGCAAGATTTTGGCCACCCCGGTAAAACACAAATTAATGTTTGATTTCACTGAATTAGCAAATATTGGTGTTTTGAATTTTGTTCACCTAAACCTACTTGAATTGATACCACTTTCAAATCAGAAATCAAAATGTTTCTATGCCTTTGTTTTAGCTTCATTTGAAAACATGTTGACATCAGTTTTCTCTTGCATTGTAAACATATATAACAATACTCTGCTACTCTTACAAAAGCTATTTTATTGATTCATTCCTATTTTTATTTCTTAAAATTGATTAGAAGGGTTAAAATACCTCTTTTTTACGTAATCTTTCAATTTCGGTTGTTTGTTTTTTGAGCATTTCTTGTAAAATTTTTATTTTCTCTTTTACTTCAGTAAACTGTTGAGTATTCGAGACAACGCTCACTTCTGCAAATATTTAAAAACACAAGTTATTATATTTAAAGAGTTGCAGGAGATTTTACAAATCAATATCACAAGTTACACAAAACTAATAGAATTTATTCAAGATTGTGGGTAAAGAATTTAATAGATCAGGAATAAAAGCAAAATCTCACTCAAAAAGGTAAAAGTGCAGGGCAAGTTAGCTGTTGTGAAAAGAGAGAAAATGGCTATATTATATGGCAAACCATGGCTTCTTGTAAAGCTACCAATCCAGTATTGTCACAGGAATGATTATGTAGTTAGGATAGAATAGGATTTACACATTTATCCTGGGAAAAGAAAGACGTTGAGACAGCTTAATCATATGGTGAATCACGGCCTCTCGTCCGGTTATCAGTCCATGTCAGGCATGGGATTAGTAATCCAGGTATTTGTTTCAGATGCATGAACTTCATGGTGGAGGAAGCCGTAACCATATTCCTAACACTAAGCATGATGCGCCACATCGCTGAGCAGTTGATCGATTGTTCTTGATGCGTGGACTTGGATACTGGAGACAATCATAAGTTAACCATTTGATATTATATGAAACTCTGGGAAGATATACTTAACACATATGGAATTTAAACCCGTAAACCAAACCCACGCTGATTACCATAATCTGCAGTGAAAAGGGTTTCATGGTTCACAGAAAAATGAAGTAAACATCCAGCTGCAGTTTCATTGTCAATACTTACGTGAACAGGAATCATCATCATCGCTTATACTTTCACGTTCAAGATCACATCCAAGTCTATAAAAAGATGCAAAAAAATGTTCACACAATGAAAACAGATTTACATACAATTTCGATTTTGTACTAAAATAGCATGATCTCAATGACCTGGTCCACATCATGTTAGCTCATAAAACAAAAATGTATTAAATTTCTTTAATATGACTAGTCAGTTAATTTTCTAATTTTTGAAATACCGTACTCAAATGAGCCAACAATGCTAACATACCCAAATAAAATGTGAGCAAAAGTATAACCTAGTTTCAATAGCGTACAAATAGTCTGACGTGGAAAAACAACAATATCATAAATGTAGATCAGGTATAGAAAAATTTCTCCATAAAATGAAAACATCAAATATGTTATCAATTCTAGCTTCCATGTTTAGGAAATAATTGGCTCAGCGGTGTGGCGCATCGTGCTAAGCGTTAGAAATACGCTCGTCACCGCATCTCTGATTACCCTTCGTGGGTTCGCAGTTCGAATCCCATGCGGGGATGATCATGTACGAGAGGATTGCTGGACTCCTCGCCACCATAGGGTGGTTCACGTAACCGCTGGTCGATTACGGCTTCCTCCACCATCAAGTCCATGCTTCCAAAAACAAATAACTGGCTAACTAATCACATACCTGACCTGGACCGGTAACCGGACGAGAAGCCGTGGTTCGCCATGTGATTAAGCCGTCTTATCGGCTTTCCTCTCCCCTGGGATAAATATGTAAATCCTTCCTAATTATTGCAACAGCTAAAAATAATTCTTACCTTTCCAATCTTGCTTTGATGAACTGGACTGCAAGTTTGTATCGAGTTTCGTCAATTTTTATAATTGTTTGTCGTAAAGCACGCTTCTTTGAGTTGTCACAGAGTAGAATTTTGTAGTGATTTGAGAATAACTGAAAAATTAAAAATTGGACCGTCAAAATCTATTAATTAGATTAGGTAGTTTACCTGAACTGCTAACATTTTTCTGAGAAGTATAATGATGGATTCTACATACTGTAAATTTAGGTTAAAATGTCAATTATAGCAATCAACGTATAAAATTATGAAAAAGGTACTCCTGTAGTATGTGAACCAAGATGGCGGACACCGTAACATAGTATGTGTGCCAGAATAGACTATAACTTCAGGTACAAATACTACAGGAGTCACTTGGCTATTTCCCAAACTCAAAATAGAACTAAAATAAGGAAAATTGAAATAAAATTAAGACCTAATCCTAACCTAGTACACATACTACGTTCCAGTGTCCGCCATCTTGGTTCACATACTACGGGAGTACCGAGAAAACTTGGTAAAACCGCAGAAGTCTGATTTTTTAAAAGAGAATAGTTTGTAAAGTTTGAATAGCGGTGAGTAAGATTTTTTTAATACAGCTATCATTTATATAAGTTTAGGAATCATGTATTAATTAAAATAGATAATGCTTATGGACACTGATTATTTTGTGCATCAATGAGCTGCTGAAATGAAAAATCCTATACATACCTTTCTTTTTTCTGGCAAACCGACAACAATACCAGGAACATAATGGACAGGTTCTTTGGTACTTGTTCTTGTTTTCGCAAGAACATAATCACCAAGCTGTAATGGAAACATATCAACTTATATTCAAACTCAAAATATCTTCTAATTAGAATTTAAAAATAATGATATTTAAATTGTGTTTGATATAACAACTCAGCTGATTCTAAGTATTTTTTGGAAAAGTAGACAGTTTTACGATAAAATTATGTAAAAAATCACACTCCTTATTTTTTCCTGCCAGATCAATTACGGTAGGTATATTTAAGATCAGAATCCATGTGACACAGAATACTGAGCTATCAGACTATTGACGAATCCACACTTGTGAATATTATAAATAAAAATATAAAAGAAAAAATAAGCAAGTTCTGAAAGTTTGGTTAAAAACCATTGGTCTAATTATCCATGCATATGCATAAAATTTAAAAAATCAATCAAGTTGCACTATTCCTTATTTACTAGTTTTGCCTATACACATTTAGATATGTATTATGGCAAAATGAAATTAAGATCTTTCTATAACTTAATTTGTGGAAGAAATTATAATCAAATAATGAAAATGAAACATACCCTGAGTGAGGGCTGTGGTAATTCCTGCGAAAGTGGTAGAATATATCTAGTTGATGTTATTTGATCTTCTCCATGATTAAATCTTATATGAGCATATCTCATATCAAGACATTGCATTAATGTTCCATCATAATAAAATCCATCAAATTCTGACCTGAGAAGTAAAATAGGTACAGATTATAAAGTTTTAATGATGCATGATTTTTGGGAGGGTACAATTGCTGCATTAAATTGATAGCGAAGGTTTATTATTTGCTGATTTATAGCCAATAAAGTTGCCTAAGAATTGATGTGATAATCAATACAACAATAGGATACAAAGAATGTCATAATTTTATTTTATCCAAGTTAGATAGGAATGAGTGTTTCAACTTGGTTGATGATTTTTGTTCAACAGCCTCTGCTCATGTTTACTTGTGCGAGTGAATCCCAATGAAATGATCGAAATTTTGTTCAAACCAATATATGAAAACGATTTTTACCTTGCAACAACAATTTCTCCAGAAAGATATTTTAAAATATCTTTTACATTATAAGGATCCTTTTCATTGTGATCTTCAGATACTGGCTCTGTTTCAGTCTGTAAAAAAGAGAAAATTGTGTATAGATCTATATAGTTATATTAGAATAATGTTCTCCCCTTCTTTCTAAAATTTTTACTGATTAACCCTGTGCATGTGATTGTACAAAAGAGTAATTTTTCTCTTCTAAAATTGTTTGTTCTGAATTTTGTCAGATTCAATAAAATCTGTCTTGAACATTGAAACCATCCAAAAAGAAGAACATGTATGCTGAGAAACAAAGTATAAGGGCGCGGCGGTGTGGCTCATTGTGCTAAGCGTGAGGAATACGCTCGCCACCGCACCTTTGTTTACTCTGCGTTGGTTCACTAGTTCGAATTCCATGCGGGGATGGTTATGTGCGAGAGGATTGCTGGAATCCTCGCCGCCGTAGGGTGGTTCACGTAACTGCTGGCCGGCTACGGCTTCCGGTTACGTATTGTTGTTTCATGTGATAAGCAGAAAAAAGAAATAATAATCACCTCATCATCCTCATGATCATCATTTGTTTGATTATTAGAGGACTGGCTTGTAGAAACGCTTCCTTCATTGTCTGAAGTACTTGATGATTCTGTACTAACTGCAACAGGGACTGCTGCTTTTCGCGGGTTCCGAGGTCGACGTTTCCTTCCAGGCCTTTTAGTTGGTGTATTCAAATCTTGAGGTGATTTGGGTTTTTTCTTCTGTTCTGTGGAAGTCTCGATTACAGCTGTTTGTAAGTCTATAGATTGTTGTAGATATTTTTCACCTAAAAAGTCAAAATATATTTATACATTATGCTGCATTATCACACATCAACTCCTAATGTAGTTTTTCACATCTTAATGCATAACAACTTAAATATAGAAAGTTTCTAAAAAGCATTTTTCAACTTTTATAAAATGAGCTTTCACCAAGTGCATGCAATGTAATTTTAAAAATTAGAAAACATTGGCTGGGTTCAATGAGCAAAGTGGTTATGTGTCCTTTTGTTAGAAGTTAGTTTATATCAAGATATTTCTACCTTACAACAAAAATAAATAACACGTCGTTGTTCTATTGTTATGGAATTTTAGAAAACTGTTTAGTCTGACTTTTAATCTTGTTCAGAATGCGGCCACTGTTTAATGGCATTGGCAATGATTCTTATCTTCGCATATGGGGAGGTATTTAAGATATGTATCTCAGAAGTAACAATTAAGTGATGTTGATGCTAAGCAATGGCATATTGTTTAGACATCAAATAATGAACAAAATAGATTATTGAAATTATTAATAAAGAATCAATATGACCATTCTTTTTACAACATTGCTGTCATCACACGAATCATTTACTTATATTCAAAGACTTTTAAATAAAAATAAATTCATACAACAAATTATAAATTTCGTTATCTGAACAGTATGTAAATTTTCAGTAAAAGGGCAGAAGTTGGAAGAAAACTCAAAATGCAACAAATAAATTTGCAGTTAGCTCTTTTTTATTCATGTTAGATAATATTTATTAATTAGCAAAAAAATGAAACAATTGTAAATAAGGATAAGTGTGTTTTGTTTTAACACAACACAAATGCTTTATTCATCAACGCTTCCCATTGACATAGGCCTGTTTACGACATTGGTGATATGTAGAAATGATAATGCCACATATCGTTTAGTTTGTATATTGCAATTATAATGATATTTTCTAACTTGTCCATTTGCCTTTTCATGTTCAATAAAACTTATATGAAAACTAATGCAAATTAATGTCTTCAATTCTAAATTAGATTTCTGTATTTATTGGAATTAAAATACGAACTGAATGAACTTACACTGATAAAAATTGAATTTTGCATAAAATTTCAATGTTGAAAAAGGATATGATATAATCAATAAGGATAGGATTTTACATATTTATCCCGGGGGAGAGAAAAACCGATAAGACGCATTAACCATATGGCAAATCACGGCCTCTTGCCGGTTACCATTCCATGTTGGGATTAGTTAGTTAATTGTTTTCGGAAGCATGGACTTGATGATGAATGAAGACGTATTCGGTGCGGTGGCAAGCATATTCCTAACGCTCAGCCTGATGAGTCATGTAGTTTGAGCATTCAGCATTTTACCAAGAATTTAAAAATTACCGGAGAGACCATGCAATTATGGGCATGGTTGGCCATGACTGATTGATTTCTATAGAGAAATAATTTGAAATCGTTCTGGTTTCACTTTGTATTTCATTACACCATGAACAAGACGAAAGGTTGGGCTCTACACTGGACTGACTAATACTCAGGTAAAAAATAATTTGAAGAAAACATTAATACAAGCTTAGAAAAAATCGCAGGATATACAAGAAAGCAAATGTATAAAATAAAAATTCACCCAAATGAATTTCATCTAACAAAACTTGAATTTGATGTTTTGGAATTGGCCATCCTTTCTCTTCTAATATCACATCAACTTCATCTTTCACAGTTTCAGATTCGTATTCTGGATCTCTAACATAGTAGAAAGTATCTTTGCTTCCATATCTTAAAGTAAAAATTTGAAGTGATGATTAATTGATACAAAATTTGCAGAACCCAAAGTCAACATTATCAGTAATCCCGAAGGATGTGAACCAAGATGACGGACACCGGAACATAGTATGTGTACCAGGTTAGGGTTAGGACATAATTTTATTCAAATTTTCCTTATTTTAATTCTATTTTTGAGTTTGGGGACTAGCCAAGTGACTCCTGTAGTATTTGTATCTGAAATTATGGCCTAACCCTAACATGGTACACATACTACGTTCCGGTGTCTGCCATCTTGGTTCACATACTTCGGGGACACCACATTATCAAAGTAACAAATAAGAGAAAACAGAATTCTTAAAAACTGTAAAATCTTCAATTTGATTAGAAACATATGCTGTTATGCTGTTAAAGTGATAATAAGATTTAGGTAATGATTTTTCATGCTAATATAATGCCGATCTTCAGATGTTGATATACAGAATCTATGAATGGTTACACCAGTAAAACCCATTTAGTAGAGATCTAAAAAGAATCGAATATTGAACTAAAATTAATTTATGAGGAAGATAATTAGTGAACATGAAACGATGAAACACCATGTTTATCTTATGATTATCACTGTAACAAATAAACCTTTGATGAGTTTGTATTCCAAAAAAAATTTACCCAAATGAATTTTATTTTGCAAGCAAAAGAATACACAAAAATAAACAGCAGATACCGGTAATTTTCAAAACTCAGAGTGAAGAAGATATAACTTGGATTCAATAGAGCAAGAAGGATAGGATTTACATATCTATCTTAAAGGAGAGGAAATCCGATAAGACGGCTCAATTACATTGCAAACCACGACTTCTCGTCCAGTTACTTGTCGGGTATGGGATTAGCTAGCGAGTTGTTTGTTTTCGGAAGCACGAACTTGATGGAGGCGGAAGAACAACCTTACGGCAATCCTCTCGCACGTAACTATCCAACTTACGAACCCAAGCAAGGTAATCAGAGGTGCGACGGCGTGCATATTTCTAACGCTCAGCATGATGTGCCCCTCCGTTGAGCACGGTTATCTATTCCTAACAACAAACTTTAAACTGAAACTTACTTATCTTTTTCCACCTTAGAAAGATGATTCCATATTTGACCGTTGAGTCGATTTCTGTAACTTTCAAGAAGTTTTTGCAGTTCTCTTTCATAAACTTCCAGATGAACTGCATTCGGATTAACAAGTCGAATTTCTTTTTTGCTTCGAGGGGAAACATGAGCTATAGGCAATACCTGCAAGATAACAACTTCGACATATTGATGAGGAATGTGTATATTGTTTTCATCATATCGTTGGGTCATTTTTTTTTTTAAATAGTAAATAAAGAAAAGTGTTTATTTTGTATAATGCTTTACAGAGATTTAGATATATTTCAATCCCGAAACAACATGACCACTCTCTTTTTTGTTATATATATTGTTATGTTAGGTAGAACAAAACAAACCTAATTGAGCCATGTACATGTCCATTACAAGTAATTCCAGGAGTTTATATTCAATCCATAATATTACACGAAACAGAAAATCGTTCCATATCTCATGTAAAATATAGGATTTGTGTGATATGAAAGTTGACAAATTACATCATTCAGACAGAACTTTAATTGTTCTGTGTATATAATTGAATATGAGGATATGGCTTGTCAAATGAGTGACAGGTAAGAATGATTACACAATCAACTTACACATTTAGCCAACTATTGTTTAGAGCGAATGTCTGTGGTTGATTGAAGAAATTAATCAACAGTCAAAACTGTAATCAAAGTTTAGAACTGTACATGAAAAACTCCAATTAGAAATAGCTTACAAGCTTGGAACAGTAATAAATCCAAATGGATATTACAGCAGTTTCCAACCCTTTTTAATTTTTTCCTCCCATTATCTAATTTGATTCTCTTTTTCAATCCCACTATTATTTAATCTTTGAATCTCAGCCTGTGTTATGTGCAACTCACACTCTGGTTTCAGCACAGCTTCAATGGTTTATAATGTGTTCATAAATATATATTACAAAAACACTAAATAACATACAACGTTAGTAAAACTATGCACAAATACAAAGTAATATCTGTATTCCCTCCTAGGGGAAAATTCTCGCTCGGGGAGAAATTCCTCCATGCTGGGAAACATTGGATTATAGAACACAGTAACATAATAACAAAAGAATGGAACTCCGGTAGTGTATGTACCAGGTTAGGGTTAGGCCATAATTTTATTCCAAATTTTATCTTTTTTAGTTCTATTACGAGTTAGCGGACTCTCTTAGTTACCTCAATATTGGTACATACACGTCTGGAGTGCCAAAAAAACAGTGACAAAGGTATAATATAATAACAATAAAATAAATACATGCCAACATTACCGGTAAATGAAATCAACTCACATCGTCAAATACTTTTGATAAAACATGCTTGTTAAGTATAGGAATATATTTTCTACGTTGTCGAATGACAGTCGGACCAAGTGCATCCATGATTGTCATTTTCTTTGCCATTAGACCATTTGTTTTCAACCAAACAGTGTTTGGAACTTCACGAATCCTGAGAAAAAAGTTTTTGACTGTATTTGTCTAAAATTTGAGCCAGTAATTTTCAAATAAATAAGTATATTCTAAATTTGTTGAAAACAAAATTGATAAAAGTTGAAATTTTCGTATAATCGACAACTCTGTCAAAACCACAACCACGCCCTGTCAACTCACGCCCACATATTCTAACAAAAAATGCAGAGATAAGTTTTATAATTTATGCAATTCAAGAGTCCTGCTGCACACTAACACAAATTGCTTGTCTGAGGAAGTCTGATTTTGGTCAGAAGGAACGTTACAGAAATACATTTGTGTTAGTGCACAGCATAGAATGATATTTTTATTCCTGCTACAGCATCTTTGCATTATACGCGTACGGATCCATTAGCGCAAAGGCATTGAGGAAGGATTGAGAGTTAGTTTCGCGCAACCTCTACTGAAAGTTTTATAATGTTATAATATTTCAAGGTTATAAAAAACTACTATTGTAATAAGAGCTTAGTTCTGAGAAATTCCGATGTCATTGTTCTCATACTAATTGAGGGTGAGTATATAAAATAAAAACAAACTTCTTTTTTCTTGATTTCCTCTTGTTATCATTTGTCCTAATTTGATCTGAAGAATTCGTTCTGTGACTGATATCTCCATTAGCTGTAAAAGATAGAAAAATAGCATATGTCAAAAAATACAAGAAAATGAATTCATTCACACACTCTATAATTGTGACTAGGAAAGCAGAAATATACGGTAGATGTTTGAATTTCAAGATGTCAAAATTTTTTCCAATAATTCCAGTGATTTAAATCAATATTTCTCAGATCAGATGAAATAGACTTGTCATACAACATATAAACGTAATTTAACATTCTTTTTATATCATAAGCACATAGCATCATATCCGACACGTTTTCGTAATTATCGGTAATTTAGATATTTGTACACAGATGTAAGTTAAAATACTGTATCAGAGGATGTATTATATTATTACGCCATGACTGAGTTGTAACGGTATAACACTTTGTAAGCATTTTCTGAATACGCAACAGTCAAATATGAAGATGTTTGTATGTGCTATGCGTAACATAACTTTCACCCTGAAGTTTCCGTTTCATCATTGTGGTAATTAAATTTTGACATATATTTTGAACATCGGAATGTGAAAAATTGTTTAATAATAGACTATATTCCAGATAATCAATATCCTTTTTGGAGAGGTCAAATAGGTTCAGAAGGATATTGATTGTGGACAAGGCATCAGTAGATAAATAATACACATTATCATCACTGTTACATCCAACTTTCCCATGTCAGTAAATGCAATGGCCTTATTGAACAATGAGAGACAACAGATTTTCGTTCTGGTAAGCACAGTGGTAAGCAACCCATTTTTAGAAACACATACCGGTATGTTATTTTGATAACACAAAAGGTTTGGAAACAATAACAACAAATTTGATGTATTTTTAACATACTTATTTGTTTAATTTCGGTTGAAAACATTTCTTCATCATTCACACCAAATTGTCCTCTATGATGTTTATGTGATATTTCTAGTAATGTAGGTTGTGTTGTGATTCCTAATGCAGTGCTAGGCCTCCCAGGCACAGCAGTGTCTTCACTAAAATTTCACAGAACACTTAATATTGTATTATAAATAAAGATTTCTAAGCTTTAAACAATATTTGCTTCAGGTGAATTTAGTCTAGTTATAAATATTAAATTGATTAAATAATTGATAAAACTACCATACAATGCAGATTAATCATAAGCATAGAAATAAATGAAGACTCAATACTTGGACTATACTTCTCCTGCTTCACAAAATCAAACAATCTGATATTTGTAATGCATTCTAAAATGATATTCCCATATACAAAATAAAGAATATATTTTAAATAGTGCCATGCTCAACAAAAACCATAGAAATTAATGTACAATAAAATCAACGAGTTTTTAATTAGGAAATGCAGTTAAAATAAACAATTATTGAATGGTTCTCTATTATCATACAACTTTTAAAATCTTTTCGGTCATACTGGAATATGTCAATTAGTAATTACATAAAATATTAATTTCTAAATTCCAAAAATCAATGTTAACTTTGAAATACTCAATATAATCAATTCAATTGGTTTGAACATTTAAATCATATTTTACATCCACGGTTATAACCTCAAATTATCAAACATCATTTATTTAATTGTCCTATATATCTAATCGTGTAAAAATTACAGTTTAATTATATTTGATTTTGCAACCAGACCACCCTGTCTATCTTCATACTATGTAACTGAATACTTCGTCTGACAGTCATTCTTATTGAATGTCTAAGAGCCAGTGTACATGACCATGCGCTACTTCAATCACATTTACCATTCATGATGCACTTACTATTTTGGTGAACTTGGTGGTAAAGATTTGGCCTTCTTTTGTGCAAGACAACAGGGTGCGCTTGGTGGAGGTGACGGCATACGTAAAGCTACTCTTTTGTCATTCGACGGCGAATCTTTCTATAAACAATTTAGAAACGCAGAACTAGTTAGTATAGAGTTATTGTGTGTACTTTTAGTGTGGAACATTGTCTCAGGACAAGGGTCATACACGACTCATGGATGAACAAATCATATTGTCCATGATTTATATAGAGTATGAGCTTGTTCATTTGAATACAAAACAAAAATAGTTAATCAGGGTTTTCAAAATATAAAAAAAATAAAAGTACAATGAGTGTAAATTCTACACAATAAAGAGCTTGAAATAGGCTGTGAGAAAAATGAATTCACAATAGAAAACATCCAACAATCTCCACTTGAACTATGACATAAGCTGAGATTTTTATATTTATTGCAGGGGAGAAAGGCTTTATTAATATGGATTAACCTACCGTAATTATATGGCGAATGACTGCCTAGGTCAGTGGTTCCCAAAGGGTGTACCTTGCGCCGCAACAATTGTGTTAAACATAACTAAAATATGATTGAACATCTTACATGTTGTATTTGTTAATATAAATTAATATTTACATATTGTTTTATTTAAAAGCCACAATTTTTTCGTGTAAGTGCACTGCAAGTTTTTTCCTGATGGCGCCGCACGAACAAAAAGTTCGGAAACCGCTGGCTTACGTGACTGACTACCTTGGTTTTTCTGTTGTAATACCAATCTAACATAACACATTTAGCCCGAAGATCAGACATTCTTTGCAAATCATCTCTTCCTCGTTGAAGTTCTGATTTCAATAAAGATACATCTTCACTCTGAAAATACAAGAAATAAATGAAAAAAAAATTTATAAAATTTTGCCTCGTTATTCAAATGATTCAACCTAGTTACCTCAAATGGAATAGGTCCATGTGGAAGTCCACCATGTGTTGTGTAGCAATGATATCTTCCACCAGTATCAAGAGCAAGTTGATGTAAAAATTGATTTGCTTCTGCGTCATTGCAATTAAAAGATATTGTATGGATGGGAACAGGTTTTCGAAGTTGAATTTGACTCAAGACACAATGCAATGGCTGATTAAAAAAAGAATACAACTAAATAAAGATGGACCAGCCTGCTTTTTTTGAAGATAATCTCTAATAACAAATTTTCTGATAAAAATAAAAATTTTGAATATCCTGTACTGCAACAAACAGAATATATCTAAAGATCAGAAATGATGGCCTAGTTGTTTGAGCGTTAGACTTAATGGTGTTGGAATCGCAGATTATAAATCTCCGGTTCAAATTCCATGACACCGGCCTCACCTTGAGTGTATCAAATTGGATTGGCGATGCCAAACCAAAAAGATTCCTGTCCTTTAAAATAAGAGTAGCTTCCTACAAATCATTAGATATCAATGGCTACTTGTACCGGAGCCTTGTACTGAGCAAAATGTATGAATGAGCATTGTATGAAAATATGCACACAAAACAATTTTAATATTGCAGGTAATTCATCTCATCAAATTACCTAAACTCGTTGAAGATCTATTGTTCGCTAAATAAATTGATTTATAACCTTATGTATGAGCAAAGTTAGACTATGATTCAAAACGATTTGTGTCATTCTGTTACAGCATTTAAATTGTGAAAAAAATGATTCACAGTAATCATCTATAATACCTGATCAGGCCTCCCATCAGTTAACAAATATATTCCTTCAGTATTGGGATCAGACAAAGCAATACGAAGAGCTGCAAGAGTGTTTGTACTCCCACCAGGTTCCAAATCTGCGATGAGTTGAAAAAAAGTTAGTTCACCTTGATATGAACATCACTGAAACAGTAGGTAATAAAGAATGAAAGTTTTTCTGTACATACTTCGAACCCAGTGCCAAGCTTTTTGCAAACTGTCTTCCGTTACTTCTTCTAATCTCGGTTTCCATGACGAGGCTTTAGTTTCGAATTTGACCAAGTTGAATTCAGATTTATGTCTCAGCTGTTCCTGTTATCAAATGAAGATAATAATGTTAGTAATCAAATGAATAAAGAATATATTTAGGTGAGGAAATCAGTTTGCAGTTTCCAGTCAAAATTCTGGATTTGGTTTTCTTTATGAGAAATTCACACCAGAGATATTTATAACTGAATAATACACTATTTCAAATACATTCTAGAATAATATTTTTTTAAGGGAGAAAATACATTTCAAGTTGGGTTATATTTAATGAAGAAATATCGAAAGCAATGTTCATTCAATGAGTTTGTATTTGGAAAAGCAGTCTGTTGAAATGATTTGAATCGCTCTCTGTTTCAGTTTTCCCAAAATAAAATAAGCTTTTTTTTAGTCTGTCTATGATACTTTAAATGCTCAAAATGATAAGTTTCAGACTATTCTAAATTAATCCCAAAATCAAGGATTTATAAAATTGAATATCATTATTAATTTCAAAAAGATTTGAATATTCAACACATTTTGGATATCACTGAGTTATATTATAAAATATTATGTGATAGATTCTATATTCCACAAACATAATGATCATACAATCGAGCCAATTGAAAAAATCCGTAACATTTTTATACGCTTTTAATAATCAGATCGCACAAAACTGAATTAATTGTTACAACATTAAGGCAACATGAATATTCAGAGTGTATAAGTTAAAGTTACCTGAAACAATTGCATCAACTTCTCCTTCAAAACTGGTAAATTTTCGCCCATCGAATGAGAAGTATCAATGACAAAATAAATTCTTTCTTCCAATATTGAACCAAAAACCTCTCTGCTGCCCTGTTGTAACCAATCAATTCTAAACAACAATTTTTATAAAATAAGTTTTTCTCAAATTTGAAACCGGTATGAAAATTTCAGTCGCTACGATTCAAGAGGTAATATTTGAATGTTTCCATCTCCAAAATTAATTCTTAATCATCGAAGTTGATACTCGCTTAGCAGGAATGTTTTAGTAAGGGTACAATAGGCAACCATATTCTCATGTTTTTATTATACCCTGGGTCTCAGCAAGCATTAGAATTTATGTAAATTCTTGAAACAAAATAAAATTTGCCACATGTTGCCACACCTACATCTTGAAAATACTCAAATCAATGATAGTGACAAAATGAAATACTATAAACTCCCTCTTTGACGTTCATCGAAATTGGGAATTTTCAAAGAAAAGGATTTATTACATAGTATGGTGGCAAAAATTTCTTACATACACACCTCTGTTGGAACGTGCTCAATAATGTCTTCATTTTCCTTTCATAACTTCGAAATAATTCAGCAGATACATAGACATGGACAACTTGATTATCTTTCCAAACAATATGTGGAAAATTTTTGCAATATTTGGCTTCAATCAGCTTCAATATTTGATGCTGAAAATATAAGAAAATTCATCAGGAAGTGAAAATAACGAGAAATGTTTTTAATTTTTATTATAACTAACATTTTCGGCGCTCCCGAAGTATGTGCAACAAGATGGCGTACAACCTGAACCCTGACCTGATACAAATACTATGTTCAGGATGTGCGCCATCTTGGTGCACATACTACTGGGGCTCCACATTTTCTGTAAAAGCTGGACTCTAAATTACATAGTATGGCCATGTCTATTCCTGCTACACCCTCTTTTCACTTTACACACTAGCGCAAAGGCATGGAAGAAGGGAGTTAGTCTAACATAACATAAACTCACAGTTACTTATCAATAGGACAAAAATCTTTTCTAAAATTTATTTTTTCAAATATGTTTTCATGTAAGTAAAATAGATAAATCATGTTTTAGCAAATTTTACAGGGCAAAATAAGGCTTATTCCGACTTAATTGAAAATTAATTAGAATATCCAGATTACAATTTATCCGTTTACACTTTTTCAAGAACTTTGTATACCTCACAAATACCAATGTTCATTCAATACCTAAATAAACATTAAATTTCAAGCACAGATTGTACTGCAATATCATCATGCAATCTAATAGGCTAGTTATACCGTTGTGATTTGACTGCCTTTCCTTAGCGTGAACGGGAATATTGCTCAATGTAAATCAAGCAACATTAATGGCAGCCAAAATCACCAACCCAGACACGTGCCCGCATTATCTATATAATTTGTGACGAAACAATGTGCTTGAGTCGGTTATTTGCGTAAATACCATTTTATATTTCATGTGCGCCTCGTTTGCATTGTTATCTCCGCTTGAATATTTTATAATTCATTATATTACAGTTTAGAATCTCTGACTTAGGCTGTATACCCTTCGTATACCCTTTATCAGTTGTATACCCTTATAATACTTATGGTCCAGTATACACTTGGGTATACTGTATACCTGGTTGAAGAGCACTAACCTAGAATATAAAAAATCTATAAAATTAAAATGAAATGTACAGAATTCTTGACATTATTGAGATCAATGATGAAAACACACCAGCTTCAAAAAAAATTGAATTAAGACACCCTGGAATAATTCCAGATCAGGGTTTGTTTCTTAGGCTACATGTTATCAGCTATAACAATAACTAAAATCTGAAATGAATACTTCAAACTCCAAAGATTAATGAAAAGCTAACTTCACTTGCAACTTACCGCATCATTCCCCATTGTATTAGTTGGTTTGCCCTGCAGTTCTATGACGTCATCAATATGCTTGAATGCAAAACTTGCCAGCGCATGAAATATAGTCAGTCTGTTCGCTTCTAGTCCATGTAAACGCAGCCAATCTTTTGATGATAAATTTGCTTCTTGTCGCTTTGTTAAAACGGGCACCAGAGCTTGACTATCCACTATAAAAAACAAACATTGTAATTTGGTATTGCATTTTTTTGTGCTAAGCATTAGGAATATGGTCGCCACTGCATCACTGATTACCATGCGTGTGTTTGCAGGTTCAAATCCCATGCAGGGATAGTTATGTGAAAGAGAATTTCTAGACTCCTCACCGACGTAGGGTGATGGCATGGACTGGTAACCGGATGAGAGGCCGTGGTTTGTCATATGATTAAGCCGTCTTATAGTCCTTCCTCTCACCAGGAATAATATGTAAATCCTATTCTATTAAAAAAACTATTTGTAAAAATATTTGTTATACCTCTCTGTTCACATTCTTCTTCTATGTTGGAAATAAGTGCTTGAATATCAGCTAGAATATTACGAGCTTCTTCTTGTTCATTCCAAATAAGAAAAACATCCTCCCGAACACCTGCACCGTGTGGCAATCCTCCACGAGATTTTTGAGACAATCTCATGCTAGACATAATATTAGCAGTTGTTCCATTAAGTGGATAGCCACTGGTTTTATGCAGTATGTCATCATCATCTTCATATTCTGATTTCACAACGAAGGCATGAAATCTGTGAAGAAAAATGGATAATATTATAATATTGTATTCAACTTCTACACACACAAAGTAGCTTATCAAATATTTATTATAAATTCAGGATCTCAAATTTATGCAAAACTTAAACTCAGGAAAGATAAACATCTATCTATAGATATATTAATATGAGAGCCTAGCCAATCAATTCTTGCTCTTATTGGTCTTCAACAATCGCATCTTCTAATTAACATACTCTATAAAGATCTACAATCCAAAAATCATCCACATCACTTCTCAACGAGGGTTTTGTGTTACAATTTTTCTAGATTTTCTTGCAACGGCTATGTACTGACATTACTGACACAAACATAAATTCTACTCTTTCAACAATCAGTTTCAATTTTAGTTTGATAACAGCAAATGTAAATAAGAGTAGTTAACTTTCTTTGAAAATAATTATTTATATATACAAAAAACATACCTTCCACCTGTCTCTGCTGAAAGACTTTTAAGAAATGTAACAGTACTTGCTTTTGTTGCATTGAATGAAATTGTGTGAAGCGGAATTGGACTTTCTTTTAATTTTTGGCGAAGTAATTCTTTGGATGATTCGCTGACATCTCCCTCCGTAAATAGATAAACAGCTTCCAGCTGTAAAACATCGACAATGGTTTAACAAGTTCACAAAACCATGTTGAAAAAACAAGTCCTGGTTCACGCCCATGCATCTGAATGCCTAAGAGTCAATTCCATAGACAAACTGCACCAGTATATAATTGAGAGGACACTTTCTTTCCGCCAACAGAAATATGAAATATTCTATTCTTTGCTGTGAAATGATGAATTGAAAATAAAACCAAGCTATGTTAAAGTCAAAATCCTCCATCTTTCTAATTGCAACGAGTATGTGAATTATAGGTAAGTTATGCAGAACCTTGTCTATGTAATCCTTATTCTGAACTTACTGAAAATCATATAGTTCAACAAATAATGAAACACATGACAAAGGAGTAATGCTTAAATAAATATATGGATACAAAAATCAAATGACTAATATGGGCACTGTTATAGATTATATCGAAAATTGCAACCACCGCAATTAGGAGAAAATAAAACCCTTTAGAAGAAAAATTTTAATAGGACTTGATTTCTTCAAAACAACCTTAACAAGAACAACAATTTAGCAAACGGACCATTACAATATGACTATGTGATTTACATCAATCATATGTGCTATGTGAATTCAAATTCTACCTTTTTCAGTTTCCTAACAAATTGCATTGATTCTGAAAGTATGAAGTAATAACAAGTAATGGCAAAAGCGCATGGTGAAATAATCAGACCAAAACATTCACAATTCCGAAAAAAAAAACTGAGACCATTACAAGTGTATAACATATACACAGGATTGCCATATCGTGTTTATTTCTCAGATTTGTGCTTTTTTTCTAGCCCGCGTCTTATAAAGTAACGATGTGCTTATTTCTAAGAAAAGTGCTTATTTTTCAGTCGCGTGCTTATTTTGTCTTACAAACGTGGATGACTCCTTCTTGTTTTGCCTACAAAGCTTCCGTGGAAACGAAGGACTAAATTTTGCTTTTAACGGTGGGCTTTGCGGTATTTCCAGGCAAACTGTGACTCACACAATAGTTGCTGCTAGTTTTTAGGAATACTGTTTTTAGGGACTGCAATTTAGAGTGAGCGTAACCATGAGTTCTGTTTCGAATATGAAAAGAAATTTTCTATTAACTACTGCTATTGTGACATCGAGAAAGATGGAAAACAGTAATCAGTGCCCACAATACTACCACAAAACACAAGAAGCATTGCGGGAAATCAAAGTATGGATACTTTAGGATCAGGGGTCGGTCACCTGCGGGCCATATCCGACACACGGAGTAAAATAATCCGGCCCACAGTGCTTCACTGAAACCTATGGATCGTTAATATGTTGTTCTTGTTCTTCACTATTAATAATTGGTTTTCCCATCGGTATGAAAAAATCGCTTTGTTTTCAATTACTGAAGCAAAATGAAATTTTTCTTGCGGAGAACTAGGATTAGTGATAGCTATTTAGAACATGTTCTAATTTTGGTTTTATCCAGTGTGCCGCCTGATTTCGAAAAGATATCAAGCGTGATGCAACAAATAGTTTCGCATTAAATGTTATTTGTAAATATATTGCATAGTAAGACGACTTGAGTCTGCAAGTTGTCGCAGTGTTCGCCTGCGATTTAAAGTCTGAAATTTGAATTTCTAATCTGTATAAATAATATGGTTCAGCAGCCACCCGTTCAGTTTTTAACTTTCTTGAAAAAATATGTGCGGCCCGCCAAGATTTGTAACACTCGATTTTGGCCTGCGAGCGACAAAAGGTTGCTTTAGAGATTGCGAGTGCCAGTGACTCCGCGCCTTTTCATAGGATTTTGCGATTTCGGAGCTGCGTACAACCGTGTTCGAAGCGACTTCTAATGATAAAAAGTGGGAGACTCGTGTACGATCCCCTTCTCATTTTTATTCTGTGTTTCTGCCGTTGTTAATTAAGATCCCTTCTCCATTGAAACATCACATTTTGACGCCCGTGCTTATTTTTGGCTCTGGGTAGATGGCAACCCTGCATATACACCACTTTATTTCTCATTAGCTGCGTTTAAAAATTACATGAGCAACCTTGAGAATGAACAAAAAACATTCTGATTATATCCTGAATCTGTTGCTTATATTCAATAAACAGTATTGCAGTTTATTGAATCCTATTTCAGTTTGACATTTCAATTGAGATAAATTTGAATGAATGAAACCTACTGTGTCATCTTCACAAGCCTTGATAACAGCTTCTGTACAACTTGTGTTTGATATTTCAGCCATTCTATCAAGACCTTTGACCCAGTCCATTGAATTTTTAATTGTGACATCACTAACAGGTGATGCAGCATCTTGCCACATAAGAATGTCACTTTGAGCCCTGTATATGGAAAAAAATTATATTTTGATTTTCATGACATCTACTTAAAAGCTATGTATTCCATTTTTATTATTCCACAAATATTTATGTATGCTTGATATTGACTGCCTTGCATTTATTCACTGATGAATACACATGCAATGAATACAGGATTCAAATCTGTGAAAGATCTCAAGATGATGTAAAAAACATTTGCCCAAATCATCTCTATCACAAGGTGGTTCAGATAGCACTGTTCAATTGTAATCTTTCAACCAGCATTTCCTCTTACCCATATCTTTCTATATTATGGAAACGGAATATGTGTCAAAAAAAAAACGTCTTAAAAATATTCATCCCAAGAAGTATGTTATGACTTGATCATAACGAAGGTTGAAGTTTTTCATTCAGTTGCCAGTTCAAGATACAAAAATGACTAACCAGTTAAATGCTTTACATGCATGTACTTGGAGGTCAAAGAATCAATTAGTTGCAAATGAAGTAATTTTATTGTCATTATGCATTCCTTAAGTTTAGTTGCAATGATCAAAAATTAGTCCCGAAAAAGCTGAGATAGACTAGGTAAAAATTAGCTATCAGTACTTGTAAGCGGCACATGGTTAAGTATTTTAATACATATGATGGTTTTGAACATGTAAACCAGTTTGTAAAAATAAGCATCAAAAGTTTTGCAACGAGAAAATATAGGGAGAATTTTTCTGGGGTCAAGGGTCGGGGAAACATCCATCTTTTTGTAAAAAGAAATCTCACCGAATCAAGTTGAATTTAGCAAGCTGGGTAACTTGGTCTTGCAAAACTTCACAAACAGCTTCCCTGTACATGTCAAACTGAGATTGAACCATTGTTGATACATCAAGTACAATACAAATACAATGTTCCTGTATTGCAAAATGTGAAAGTTTTACGGTATCCGCAAAAAAACGAAATTTCAGGTAGTTTATAATATTTATTCCAACTAAGCAAAAATGCCAAAATGCAAATAAGTCTAAAATTCTTTTATATCCAACAATACACCACATTGAGTGATAATGATAGTCATTCAGTACCTGTATCACACCAAATATTTTTCGGCTCCCGCTTGTTAACCATTCTTGTCGCCTTTTTATTAATCTCAGTGATTGCGTCAAGTTATTTTCAATTTCATGTAAGGTTTCTTTGCCAACAGTTATCTAAAAAATGGATGAATTAAAAAAAATAACGAGATAAGTGAGTCTTTACACAACATGTTTTTTAATTACTCATAATCCAATGCGAAAATAAAAGGCACTCCACAAGTGTGTGGTTCACGTAACCGCTGGTCGGTTACGGCTTCCTCCATGCTTCCAAAGACCATAACTAACTGATCCCATACTCAACATATAATGGTAATCGGACACAAGGCCGTGGTTCGCCATATGGTTAGGCCGTCTTATCACCTTCCCTCCCCCCCTAAGGGAATAAATAAATAATCCTAAGTATGTGTACCAATATGAAGATAACTATTTTTGTTCGCCTACTTTACATCAAATTGTGTAAATGGAAGGAAGCTTATGGGCAGAAAATATATTCACTTGGCTAACACAAACAATCCCCGAACTCCAAATAGAACTAAAATGAGGAAAATCGAAATAAAATTATGGTCCCACCCTAACCTGGTACACATATCACGGGAGTACTAAATAAAATCAATCGCTTATGGCGGAGTGTGAAACACACCACACTCCTCTCATAACTGCTATTTAGTCATAGATTTTAGACAACGTTTGGATTAAAAACAGTCAAGGAAGTTGTAATGTATGGAATATTATTATTATCAATATCCAAACACCAAAAATGCAGAACATTTAAAAATTGTATAGCAATTTGATATTTCTTATAATTGATATGGATTTCAGTTTTTCTTTTGAAATGAATGACCCCATGTCTGTTCGACAAGCACAAATAAAGTTACATTGTATGTTTTTCCTCCGTTTGTTCTCATTTGTTTGAACAATCCTTCACCGTAATATGATCCAACAGGTTTCTTCAAACTCTTTATATAACCTGAACAACATAAGAAACGCAAGAATGATATTACCAAAGTGTATCAATTGCAATGCCTAGAATCCTGAATTAACTACAACAAAGATATGGATCATTAATTCAGGTCCTTACCCTATAAAAATATTTGCCTAACAATACTTACCTAATATGATACAGATATTCGATCAGAAAAGTTCAATCAATTATAGTAATAATATATTGCGGGTTTATAAGTTCTCCAAAATATATATCTGATTTGTATAAATTCCACCCTTGCAATATTGATATATTTATGCTGATAGTGATTGGTTGCAAATAAGCAATATAATGGCTTCTCTTTCTCACCAACAAACTGTTGTCCCTTTTCCAAATTTTACAGAGTTCTATAACAGACTTCTAGGAAGTCCTATCGATAATCACTGTCGGGTTGCCTTATCAAAAAATCAATACATGAAATAGATGCAAACATGCAATGGATTGTGATATTTTCCAGGCACTGATACTCGAATGGCAGTCTAAATCTAGTCCACAAGAAATTTTAATTCTCGTTTGATTCTCCCAAATGAGAAAATAATTACTACACTTCTATTCTATGGTATATGACTTATTACAAAGTATGTAATAAAAGATGTACATACTATCAGTGTGCTTGAATCCAATTCTAGACAAGATTTGATGAAGTTTTAATCGATTCCGCTTCAAGCCATGGAGTTGAAGCCACCTGGATGAACTGATCAGAGGTTTGACATCAAGCTCAAAACGGTTATGAGAATTTCTATCATTTTGTCTTGGAGATTTTTCTCGTTCCTCATCCGCCCATGAATAAAGATCCACATCTTCTTTTTTCACTTTGTGTCCAAGATTAAAGTTGGGAGTTGAAGCTGTAAGATAGAATAGTTGAATAAAAGTTTGCTTTACCCAAGAGTAAAAATTATACAAACATGAATATGATGAAAAGACAATATTGTTATATAACGATTGACGAGTATGATAAAAACAAACTCAAGACACTGAGTACCCATGCGCAGGTTCCCAGGTTCGATTACTGGGAAGGATAGGTATGTGTGCGAGGATTACTAGACTCCTCATTCAGTCATTGTCATAGGGTGTCTGTGGTTCGCGGAACTGCTGTAGCATACAGTTACAGCTTCCTCCTCCAGCAAGTCTATGTATCTATAACTATAAGTTTATTTTGAATGCATAATCAGCATAACAAACAATAAAATAGTTGATAGAAACAAATAAATAAAAACTGATTATAGAATCAGGAAAGCAAACAAAACCTTGAGTAAACAAACAAATAACTGAAAAAATGACTAGTTGAATATCCCATATATGACTTGTCAACCAGACAATAGTTTGCCATATGATCAAGCCACCTTTTGGTGTTTCCTCTCAATCTGGATAAATATGAAAATGCTAATTTGAGTAAAACTTCGAGGCTGACCTTCATTCATGTTGTTTGATCAGAAACCCACTGGCTTACAAATCATAATTCAGATTATCCGTGGAGTCATTAAGCCAGTGATCAGGAGATGCAGATATTTTTGTTCCCGTGTCAGAGTGTAGTTCACTATTTCAGACTACAGGACAAACAACGCAGACAACAGGCACATGGATTGACGGATACCTAGTTCTGAGGATAGTCCACAAATAAAACTACAGCAGCTATTGTTTTACTATATAAATTGGGCCAATTTTCTACTTTCCACTTCTAAATTACACTGTAAATTATTATCAGAATAGCGTGTCATAATAAATCGACGAAATCATAATAAAAACAAACCCCACAATAACAAAGAAGTACACGCATGCTCGCGGCAAGCGTAGCCATGGAGACTCTCTCTCCAGCAGAGGGCACTCATAATATTCCAGTCCTAACTTTGCAGTCTTTAAAAAATCAATGGGTGAGCGAAAAACGGTTAGCAAAAATTATGAGCGTATTATGATCAGTGTATTCAATATGAGCATATTTCGATGCTTCTTCCTGGAGATCAAATGTTGGTAGGTCCACACTGCCAATCACCATGTTATATCAGCAAGGATAATAGACAAGTTATAAAAACACACTTTTCTTGTACGACGCTTATTGACGTGTTTCGCTTCGAAGAAGGCTTTGTAGAAACAGCCCTGGTATCTCACAATATGTAAAAAGTTTATTTGGAAGGACTGGAATCTTTCATGCTCGGCATTTTTTATCCAATTTGAGGATGGGATTTGAATTCGAGATGTGTAATCACGTCAACACAGTTAAATCTAAAGCTTTCGTCTCGGCGGTGTGGCGCATCGTGCTAAGCGTTAGGAATACGCTCGCCACCGCATCTCTGATTACCCTTCGTGGGATCGCAGGTTCGAATCCCATGCGGGGATGATCATGTGCGAGAGGATTGCTGGGCTCCTCGCCGCCGTAGGAGTGTTCACGTAACCGCTGGCCGGTTACGGCTTCCGAAAACAAATACCTGGCTAACTAATCCCATACCCGACCTGGACTGGTAACCGGCCGTGGTTCGCCATATGATTAAGCCGTCTTAATCCGTACTTATCCGTCCGTAGGAGTGTTCACGTAACCGCTGGCCGGTTACGGCTTCCGAAAACAAATACCTGGCTAACTAATCCCATACCCGACCTGGACTGGTAACCGGCCGTGGTTCGCCATATGATTAAGCCGTCTTAATCCGTACTTATCCGTCCGTAGGAGTGTTCACGTAACCGCTGGCCGGTTACGGCTTCCAAAAACAAATACCTGGCTAACTAATCCCATACCCGACCTGGACTGGTAACCGGCCGTGGTTCGCCATATGATTGAGCCGTCTTATCGGCTTTCCTCTCCCCGGGGGTAAATATGTAAATCCCTATCCTATCCTTTGACGCCGAACCAGACTTACAAAAAATTGCGCATAAGCCCATTTTCATTGGAAGAAACAGTTTTCACGGTAAATTTTTTTTTTGCTTGGCCGTCAATACATTTCTTTTTATTGAAGTTTTCTGAGCGAGCAAACACATCTCAGGACAATGAAAGCACAGTGTCGGATAAAAGAAACGAATTATAAATCAGTGATCAGAACCCACCGTTAAACAAGCAAAAGTTAAGAATAAAGTTTGTAATGTAAATGGCCGTGCTTGTTCGCCAAAAATATCAAGCACGCATAAAATATAAATTTATTGTATATAGTAAACTAAGTAAGGCAACACATTCCCTTCACGTCCGCACACTAGTGTTGCGATCGTTCCCAGGATTTTTAGCTTATTTCCTAATCCCGAGGGTAACAATCCCGGGATTCAACACGTGACGTTGTGTTATTCTAAAATCTAAACTAAGGCGATTTTACAGTGCATGAATCATGCACATGCTTCCAGTCTCAACGTGAATTGAAATAGCATATGATCTGAATTACAACTGTATTATCAAATATTTCACAGTACCATGACCGTGGTCTACCGTTTCCCAAAAAAACGTCGACTTTCGCTAAGCGAGCGATCATATGACATAAGTCGAGGAAACGCTACAAATAATTTATATTTTTATTGGACACGAAATGCAAATGTGGATCATTGTATTTTTATTATTGTTGTCTGACTCGTTCTTGTTGGTATTTTTCTTCTTATCGAATTGAAAAATATCGCTTTTCTCATTAACTACTGGACCAATTGCTTTAAAAGTGTCAGTGGTTGAAGATTGTTTTCATTGTAAAAAGGTAGCGTGATCAATAATTGCGTACCTTGTGGCGGTTCCGCGTTCGCTTTAGACGTGAACATTGCTCTACCAGTAGTCTACTCTGACAGGTTGCATATCAGTAGTACTTCGTTTTGGCTTTCGTGTGCATATTTTTGAGCATCGCTTTCATCTTATTAATATTATTGTTGGCGCCACTACACAAAACGTCAAATAGAAAAACGAATCCCAAATAGCTCACAGGAAATTTTGAAATTAATAAAAGTAATAGTCTTCTAGCGACAACAACAATAAGTAGCCTATATTTTGACTCCATAATCAGCATAAAGACGATAAATATTTGATAAAAACAAAATAAATAAAACTGATTACAGAATCGGAAAAGCAAATAAAACCCGAAGTAAGGTTTAAAACGTACTGATTTTAGATTGAGTGGTGTTTTCAAAAAAAGTGGTAAGTGTACGCTCACCCAATTTTTGACCACTGAAAAATTCAAGGCCACCCAGATAGCACAACTACGTCGGAACAACCATGACCGAACGTTGTTCGAACCACCGGCCCAATAATGGCGAACAACCATGTTCCAGCGAAGATTTGGCCGCTGGGCCAACATCGGTCCATTCGCTGTAATGCAACCGTGGCAAACGGTCGGGCCAACGTAGGCGATACGTTGTAACACAATCGCGACATATGGCCGGGCCTGCGTAGGCGACACGTTGTAATACAATCGTGGCATATGGTCGGGCCAAGTTAGGCGATGTGTTGTACAGACAGGGTATTGATCTATACTACATAGAAATTTCTCACTAATCTAACATTATTTATATAATAAAAAACAAAAGATAACAAAATGTCTTTATTTTACAAATATGTATACAGGTAATAAAATTAATCGGAGTTCGTTGCCAGATCATCCAGAGCTGAAAAATATAAAAATTCTGTGTTAAATTGCAGTATTAGCAAATTACAGCACCAGAGTTCAAAGCCTAGTCTGAAAGACTGCATCCCAACAAATTTTCAGAGTAGGAATCTTAAGCCAAGTTTCTGCAGTCGCAAATGTGTGAGTGAAGCTTACATTGACAAGACAATAATAATTGAGAAATACAGAAATTCTTGATTCCGCAAGGGGGGCGTTGACAATGTTTTGAGGGGAATATTTGTTGGAGGGAATAATGATGATTTGAGATTTTATCTGACTAAAATGTCTTCAAATATTCCTTGTTGAAATTCATCTATCTTATTAGAAACATCATGCACCATGATTAGTCTATTTGTTTAACCACTTATTTGTAAACCACTGTTCGCCATTATGAACCAAACTCTGGCAACATTGGATTGGAAATTTGGCACTTGACTCTAACCATAATCAGCTTGGCGATATCTCCTTAATAAATATTTTTCTATACTGTCCACTTTTGTATACAAAATCTACATTCAATTTCTTTACTGTTCAGTTGTTTACAAAATCATTATTCAATTTGACAATCATAATGATAAAAATGAATGGTGTGGCAACTGGTAAGTACATGTTGTTTACTACCCAACTTATCTAAATTTTCTCGCCTGTTTTTATTTTATTATATCTCTATTGTTGTTGTGTGTGTGTAACTTAATTCATGAACACGATAGGCATCTTTTTGGCAAAACCTTATATTCTTTACGCTTTGATCTTAATTAAGGTTTTGTTTTCACTCCAGATTGTCAGATTCTATTTAATCAGAGCAGAGAACGATGGTGGTACAATATGATAAACATATTACATACCTTTAATAGCAGAAACTAAGGGCGTCCCACTCACTGCTTCTTATCCGCCGCGTCCTGCACAGTTGAAAGAGCGGGAGAGTAAATTTGTTATAACCGAGCTCATGGTTCTCCAAACCAGTCTTTCTTGGAGAAACCTCTGAGACTTGACAAATATCTTATCTGGAATGAGTAAATAAGCACAATTATGAGAATACATTTAATGAAAAGGTTTCCATCCGTTGCAAAAGCTCTATGTTATTTATCGCAAGTGTCTACTCTAAAATATACACATATGTGTTTTGTCCACATCGCATTTGTATAAAAGTGAACAATTTTAATATTGCAATCGGATCGTATTTAGACATTTAAATATTCTTCCTTGAACACGAAGCGAAAATATGGGGCAAATTGTATTTCATACATAATTTCGAAGCACTTCATGCAGTCAAAAACAAAACGATAAAAAATAAAAGGCACTCAATAAGATGAGACCCAGCAAAGGTATTTTCACCTATTTTACTTTCATGTTCTGTTTAGCTTTCGAATTAAATATGGAGTAATCTGCAATATTTTACCATTGTACTAAAACTAAACAAATATTCTGAATCTCAGAGATTTTTACATCGTGGTCTTCATACGATGGCATGTGTTACCGGTCAGCAAACTCTTTCAAATTAATTTTGCTTGCCCACTGGGGTAAAAAGGTCGGGAACCACTGAACTAAACAGTTAAGTACAACCCCTTTACACCAACGCCCCGCAAACTTAGTCGATTTTCATCAGAATGATTAAATAGAATGTTCAGAATAGAATAAATTGATTTTTAATGTTTTCTCGTTGTGGGGTCGTGGAAAAAAAGTTTGGGTACCACCGCCGTAAAGTGTCCGTAATCAGCTTATAAAAATATTCAACTTAGGAGCCATTTTTCATCCTTGAATGTATTCTGGATCAAAATGTAATCAGACAATGAATTGACAATGAATTTCATCAATTCCGGTATGTCCGAGTCCACACTATAATCAGTGGAAAGTTGCAGTTGCCGTAGCTCGTAGCATAAGAGTTTCTACCGCCTGTCCCAACAATTTTTCCATGGACTGGATTGGAGCATGGCCTGATCTCTGAAAATCAAGTTAGTGTTACCCAATGTATAGTACATAATTGGACACGTAGTGGACATAACGATCGTTTCAATATTATGTTGTTGTTGTTGTTCTTGTTCTTTGACACGTTTTTAAAAAGTCGCTTTTCCTTCGAATACTGGACCAATTGCTTTGAAATTTTCAGTGGTTGAAGATAAAAATTTTCTCCAGAAGGCTATTACTTTTTTTTTCGCTATGACGTCATCAAAATTATGTGACTCTACGTGTCCATATATTTGAGCATAGCTCTCTTGTTTTTACATAAGCCATTACCTTTTTTTTTAAACAATTTAGCAGAATGGAGGGACGGTTAAATATTTGTTCATCAGAGCGCGTGCCTACCCAATATCTCGAGACATTTGAATAAAAACTTTCTCTTTTGCGGCTCTGCGACGAAAATCTTCTTGCGTAACATTTAACATTGGTGCTTGTTCGAGACATGTCTGTGAGGTTGTTATCGGCCGAGCAAAGATCAAAATGAGTTACGTAGCATGATCAAAAAATCATGGCCAACAACGTGATATTTTACTAAAGTTTCGATTAATTGAATGGGAATCATTTTCCGCTTCATGACATATATTGTGTTTTTCATTGTGTAATATTCAATAATTGTGTTGTTGTGCGTACATTTTTAGAGGGGCATTCTATTCCCCACCTGCAACCTCCAAATTTCCCACTAGTGGGAAATTTCCCATCGGTTGGGAACCACTGCGCTAATATATCTCTGTGGCCCACACGCGCAATATTGACATCGAAGATTCGCTTTTGGGAACTATTGGTGAATCTTCTGCGTGTTCAGCAGGTGACGTTGTCCGTGTACCGTGCCGACTGGGTGAGTTGTTCAACAGCCACAGTCGATAGCTTTCCCACTCATCGCGGACTGATGTCAGCTGAGCTAATGCACCACGACAAGTGTTTCACTCTTTGAGTTGGAATATCTTAGATGTAGAAAAAAACATGAACACATGGGCTGGGCACTGTAGCTGCGACGCCTGGCAAAGAAAGTGGAGCGATTCCACAATTCTCCGTCTTTGAACATGGTAGCCCACAGATATGTCAGTACAGACAGTATGTTAGTCGTTGGTACAGACAGACTGTAGGTAGTACAGTAGTAAGTAAAATGATACTTGACTGATTCAAATCTGAATTTAAGATTTTATTTTATCATACGGCTTATTGAATTCGCATTGTATACCGGTAGTCTAATCCTGTAATTATCATAATTTTGCCCGTATCAGAGTATTGTACACTCGGTTTTTTTAGGCGTCACAGTGACGTAATAAAGTCCTTCAAACTATACGAACTGTTGATCCAGGGAAATCGAGCAAGGTATTTCTCTCGTTTTCTCGTCGCACAGAGATCGCTGCCGCCAGTGAGTTCTTTATCGTCGGCGCAGATGCCATTTAAGCGATCGTAGTTCTGTAGTTATACTTTGCCAACCTCTATGACGTAATTTTTGGATGGCGTAGTTAGGTTGGGGGATGTCAGGGTTGACATATGCAAAAATCGTTACCGGTATGCTACGCCCACTATAGAAGTACTTGATGAGGTACGAAACTACACGATACCCTAATGTTCTACCGTAACGGTTTTGCAGGCATACGGTACCGGTACCAATTTTCGAATAACGTTTATGATACTACGGTACAGCAAGTTTTTTAATCGTTTAAAAAAGGTTTTGGGGGGAATTCCACTCTGCAGAAATGATATTTTTTAATCGGTTTCCATGCACGTCTGAAACCCTGGCTGCCTGGAGCTGTTTTTTTGATCAATTTCTATCATGGATATATTTTATGTACTAATTTGTTACTTGGTGGGTCACCGAAAAAACACGATGGGTCAGTGGTTTGCCATCCCTATTATATTTATAGACTATCTACAGCAGGGTTGGGCCAGGTTTTTGGACCAGGGGCCAAAAATTTTGCCACCTTGACTGACGGGCCATGATGTTGATAATAAATGAAGCACAACCGGTGTTAGCAAAACGATGTAATTTGCCAGTAGGTAGGTAGTATAGTAGTAAGTAAAATGATACCGGTACTCGACTGATTCAAATCTGAATTTAAGATCGATTTGCTGACACCGGTTGTGCTTCATTTATTATCAACATGAGTTTACCTGGTGGCAATCATGCACTATTTGGGCCATGTAGATGTTAGTGTGATGTAAAAAGTTACATTTTACAAATAATATTTACAGTGTTACAAAACTAAATGCGCAAAACAATGAGCCACGGCCAAAATTAAATTTAATCGCAATCGCAACAAATTTCTTGAGGAACTTCTTCAGCTAAACATCAAAATTTGATTTTAGTTGGGTTGTGGCAGTCTCAGAGGCGCAGTTCTTACCACTTTATAGCCGGTCCTGCCACGAACGAACCGCAGCATCTCTTGCCATAGTTTATGGTGCTATTACCGGTATATTCACAAAGTCATGTAGCAAATTTTAGTTTATCATGCGAATTATATCTACTGAAACCTAACCCCAAATCCATCAAAACTGTATCCACAAGGAAAAGGTTACAACTTACAGACTTACCCAAAATTTTCCACAATCAGACAATACAGCAATAGGGGCAGCCCTGTCATTACAGCCAACATGCCTTGGTTTGTGGCAGCAAAATTTTACCCGCCATTGGTTTTCAATTTGCTGCTGTGGTGCCTGCCTCACGCCATAGTGGTTAGTGGCATCTAAAAAGTCTGCCACCGTGCTTTGATCATAGCGGCCATAGTTTGGAAATCCTGGCATGGTTTTGCGGCAGCTTCTGACACCACAAAATACATAGATTGAACTACCCATCGGACCGTATTTGACCCGCGGGCCATAGTTTGCCCATGTCAGACCTATAGTGTGAAAAGTGGAGTTAAGTCTAGTTTAGTACCACAAGTAGCCTACTTCCGGTGGGCGTAGCAGAACAAATTTTGTATATGTTATTCCTAACCACCACCTGACTATGTCATTCAAAAATTATGGTCACAATCATGTCATAGAGCTTGCCAAGTATAGCTAGCATAGTCAAAAATGGCATCTGCGCCACCGAACTCACTAACGCCAGAGGTCTCTCTCATATCAGGGTCGTTGCGACAAAAAAACGAGAGAAATAGCTTGCTCGATTTCGAGTGAACGTCTGCGCATTTTGGACGACCATCCATACACTTTGGAGGTATTTATTACGCCACTGTGGCGTCGTAGTGACGTAATTTTTGGGTGACATAGTCAGGTGGTGGTCAGGAATGACATGCAAAAATTGTTGAGCCAGGCCAACTAGAAGTGCATGTGGTACTAAACTATACCAGACCTAAAAAATGTTGGGTTAGCATTGCCAACCAACCTAATATAATTGATACTTGTCATTTAAGTTGCAGTTAAAGTTTTGACGGAGACCCAATCAAACATCTATCCTGTTTCATAAGCAGATGGTTTTATAGACTATATAATTGCATACCCCTATATTACTATATATACAACAATTCAAAACAATTATGTATACAATCGCTTACTGATAAAAAAATAACTTTATTTTCAAGGTTTAATAAAATATGTCTAATCTGCTGTATTGTACTGAATTGTCCGGTGATCTGGTGATCAATACACAGATGTAAAATTGGGCTGCAATGAATGATGAATTTACTAAGCTTGAAAAACTTTTGGAATGAAACTCATTGATAATACTGAATTTAATGTATTGTATAAATACAAGTATTTCTTTGAATTTCATTATTCTGAACTAAATTCGTCATAATTGAAATACTGAATGATGAATGCTGTTACCATTCAACCGAAGAAAACTTCTGGAAAAGGATACAATATGCTTGTGAATGGTGATTGTTTGAGTGATTCTGAAAATGAACAAACAGAAAAGGTAGAGTCAAAAACGATATTTGAAAATTTGGAAAAAACTGTGCAATGTGTCGATCAAGTCAATAATGGAGATATTGATTACTATAATGATGGTTTAACACCAATGGATACGAGCTCTTGTACTAATTCAAATAGTTCAGAACTTCAAGATGTCTCAAATCAAATCAGCATCAGTTTTGTAAATGACAAGGAAATATGTGAAAAAGCAATGAATGCAGCATTGGCTAATGCAGAAATTGTTAAAAATGCAAGGACTATGCTACCAACCACTTTAGTGGAACGCCAACAGGTCACTGCACTGAACAAGACACAATGTACAAACGCTCCTGGCAGAGCCTTGCGTAAACTGGACCCTCGTAAACTCAATTTGAATCTTGATCTTTTTAATTCAAAAACTCGAAAAAAAGAGAAAGCTAATTCATTGAGTGATAGCCTACCATCCAATCCTATGTCTCTACCTTCTTTGATAGAAACAGATGCAACCTCAAAATCTTGCCAAACAAAATCAGAATTAAAAAATTCTGAATCAAAGCCAAAAAAGGGTAAATCTTCAGAAAATGGTGTCGTCAATTTTACACCAAACAAAGTTCAGGTTCGCCAGCCTGATTCAACATCTAAACAATCATGGTTGCTCCGTCTTTTTGAATCACAGGTATGTACTGCTATTCTAGTTTTGTCACCATTAGGGCCATGCCAAGCAAAAGTTGAATTCCATCAATTTTTTAAAAAGTGTAGTGAAAGTTATTTTTTTTATTTCTGATATCAAAAGACATTGTAATTTTATTGGACTGCATTCATTTCATCGAACAATTTAAAATTTCACCCAGGTTTTTGATGGTTTATAAAAAATGGCCTGAAATGTAGAAATTTTGGTATAATTGACATATTTTGTGATGATTCCTGACACAAAGTGTTTGATTGTGTGGTACAGTTATTTCATATGGAATTGACGCACTGGATTTAAGATAATAAAGTTTGAATGTTTGCAGTGCTGTAAGACATTTCTTCACCCATTTAACGATTTATTACCAGAATTTTAAGAGATGATAGAGGCCGCTATTTCGAAGTGGAAAAATGTCCTGTAGTGTCACGTCCTGTAGTGTCACATACAATATGCACATTATTGGCATGGATTTACAGTATTACATTAACTAACTTGAGAAACACATAGAGGGGTAGTTCAGCTACTGCACCAGAAAATATTATGGGCTCCTACTGTACCATCGCAAAAATTTACAGCACAACACAACGTACTGTTAGTGCATGGTGGATTTGCCGTCCTGTAGTGTCACGCTATATTTTACTATCTTTTTTTTTATCTGCTAAGTAAGTCTTGGGTGTAACTTTTGTGCAAATTTTTACATATTCAATAAAGCAACTGAGTGGACAATGAAACAAAACATGTTGCTGAAAATGTGAAAATATATTGCATCTAACAACTTGCAAAATTTCTGGGTTTGTCCTGTAGTGTCACTTGGAATAGCCCATTAATGCTAATTGCCCATATCAACTACTTTAATGTGAAATTATTGTCTGCCAACCTGGGTTTGATCATACAACAATAGTTTTCTGAATACCATCTAATTTTTGAGCTATTTTCTCTTGCTTCTTTCCATCTCATGTTAGGTGAGAATAACTTGAAGGGAACCTAACTTGATGTTAATTGAACCACTCAGGCATGATTTATTTTGTGGTATAATGTTGAATCCAAAGTTGGAGTGTCAAACCTTATAAAAGTTTTATAGATACACAAAATGGATCACGATTGAATTATGCTTTCCCCTAAACTTTGAAAACATCTCTTTGTGACATTATTACTCAATACACCAATAGTGACAATGTAATTTCATCTATTTTGTTTTATTTGTGAAATATGTTGTCATTGAAAACTATATATATATTGCAGCTGGAGCCAAGATTACCATAATAGATGGAGCTGGAGCCAGGGCTAACAGAAATTTTAGTGGCTCCAGCTCTTAAACATCCAATTATTTTTTCACATTCGAAAGTTTCAAGTCAAATTTGTGTAATTAAAGTTCAATTAAATTAAAGTTCAATTTTAAAATTTGAAATCCTAATAGTACGGTGTATCTTTAAATCACGCTCCCACATTGATAGTGGTTGTATGGAAAAACTCACTGGCTGTTGATCCGAAGTTGGGGGGCCAGCGTAATGTAAAATGAAGTTCTGCAGCATGAGCTGGAGCCACAGTTCTAATCTATTTTGGCTCCAGAGCCAATGTGATTTCCGTCCAGAAGTCCAGCTCTGCCCAATACCCACTGACACCAGCAAGTCTCAGTGTTTTTGGATGTGTTATATCTCTGGCTTGACTTCTATATATTAATTAAAATTGCAGGTTTTCGACATGTCGATTGCTCTTCAGTATTTGTTCAAGTCCAAGGAACCTGGTGTACTTGCTTACCTGGGGAATAAGCTCTTCACATTTCCTGAAGAGAAAGTTGATCTTTTCTTGCCAGAACTTTTAGTCATGTATATTCATATGGATCATGATATGAGAGAAGCAATACATCCATACATTGTTGCAAGGTAACTAATGAGGAGATGAATTATTGCCCTACCATCGGGCAAAGTTATCTTAAGTGAAATTGGAAGCTCTGACTCAAAGTGTCTTTCGAACCGCGGAACTCTTTTATATCATTAATTTTTCGCAGAACACCAAATGAAAATTTTTGATTTTGTGAAAACCATCTGAATAACCAATATTCTCGATTAGCGTAGGAATGAAATTACAACAAGACCAATAGAGTCGTGAAAGACGTAACAAATTCGAACTGTTTAAATTTTCAAAATCAATATTTTGTAGGCCTACTTAATTATATAAACAGCCCTTAAAAATACTGAACCTAATCCAGTAATATATCCTAGCTTTTTCGTAATTGTTTTTTTTATTACGGTACTTCAATTGAAACAAAGTTCCAACGCGAGACCTAGCTTTAGGTAATTTTGATTCAAACCTAAATTCTGAAAACATGGTAGTAGAATTTGACCAATGATGCCTGACATTACAGAAACGAGTCAATGTTCAGGACCATTCTTGAAAATGGTGTTCAGGCGACTGATTAAATTTTCACTTTCGTTAACATTTTGCTGTTTAGCCATTGTTTCGTAAATAAACTAGGAAGTCCGTTCCTGGGGAAACGTTAATTACACGTAACAGAATCTTTTTAAAAACCAAATTTACCTGCTTGACGGATTTGGATTTCTTTTTGTTATCATAAAATATACCAAAATATATGAAAAAAAATTGGGGGGACGACAATTTGACACGGAACACCTGAAGGTCTCTCACAGAATACCAGTGTTCCGCGGAACAGGTTGATAATCACTCATGTATGTTATATACTGTATATTTAGTCATGGTGCTCTTTGTATGGTAATTTAGTATGAAGGGATGTTTGTTTAAGAGTCTTACTTTTACCTGTCTGTATATAACATATGTTACTTTGTGAAGTATTCTTTTGGTGTAAATACTGTAGTTGTTAGACTGTAATTTAGAATGTGAATGAAAAATTTAGTCCAACACTATGCAACTTGCTTTTACAGATGTAAAGACAGTGCTGACTTCTCAATAAACTGTGCATGGCTTCTTGGAAGTTTCTCGTGTGCAAATTCATCATCAGCGCCATACAAAAGAATGACGAGAGCTCAAAAACTCAGATCAATGATAATATCTGGTGAACTTGGAAAAAGGACTGGCTTGTCTAGAAATATCATGAACTATTCACCAAAATTTCCAAAAGAAAAAAATATTGATTCTTCAGTTCACAAGTTCAAGAAATCACATAAACGTTCGAAATCTGATGTTTTATCAGGTAAGCAAGATATCCAATATGCTTAGGTAATGCCAATGCTAGCAATTTTAGTATCAGTTCAAATAATGATACACACATTATTTATAATTGAAATATCGAAATATGAAAGGTCTTGGTTAAAATTGATAATCCTGAATGATTTAAGGTTTATTAGGATTTTGGTAACAAATTTGTTAAGATAATTTGTTTTATTTAAACCAATTTCTTCAATTTAAACTTAATCTTATATATAGAACTGACCTTGAAAACTAAGATTACTTGACCCAATTCTCCTTTTATTAATGCCTAATTGACCTATTTGACAATAGGTCGCTATTATTTCATCCATGTCTATTGTTTGGAGTGCAAATTTATTGAAGATAAAATAAATATTGATTAGGTAATATAGAACATACAGAGAGTTGAATAAATTTAACAATAGTGTTTTGATTATTTAAACGTTCCTGATATCCTGATGATCTATTATTGATTTTGTAATTTCATATTTCAAATTGTGTAATACAGGAACTTGTATGATTTATATTGAAATTTTCTTTTGGTTGAAATTTCGTGATTGTGGCTTATTTTATTAATAATGTAGATATTTGCTGACTGTTGGGCAAGTTGGTTTAAAATTAGATTGAAATGTTATGGAAAACTGTTGTATAGCACTGTTATTACCCGTATCCAGAAAATTTGCTGCAGGAAATTTCGCCGTAGGAAATCTCGCCATAGGATTTTTGCCGCATTGTAAAAATCGCAAGGGCATTTTGCTGTGAAACAAGTACTTGCATAAAAACAGTTTATCAGTTTAGTGGATAGTTTATAGGGTTATGGTATGCTCTTAAATAACGAATCTTTTTCAAATAAGGCGATTTTTCATGCATCGATTTTTCTTATGTGACTGAATTTCTTGCGGCGAGATTTCCTACGCCAAAATTTACTGTGGTGAATTTTCCTAGAAACCTTATAACAATCTGTACAATTATTTCTTAGTTTACTCTTTTGTTGTGACACCACCACATTTTTTTATTCATTATCTTTATTTTCATGGAAGGAGCTGGTAATGGAAAATGCTCCATACCAAGAGCAGGAAGTCAGTGGGATTTATCAACTGGTCATGCTTTTGAATGTAACGAAAAATCTGACATGACAAATAGATTAATGCCTGAGAAAGAGTTTGTTCGTGCACTGCTTGCAATTGGAAAACGACTAACTAATCAGCCAACGAAAGATACTAAAACACACAGGTATTGATTTATCTTAAAGATATTGATTGTCTGGTCCATCCAGATATATTTTTATACGACAATGTGTTGAATACAAAATTGTATCAATAAATACAATACAAAATCAATATCAATCAGCTATAATATAGTCATTTGATCACATAATTATTATTATTAAACAATACATATCTAACAATATTTGATTGATATCAGCTTAAAAAATACAGTTCTTCGTAATCTTCTTCTTTTATTTAACCTTCAGTTTTTTAGTTTGATTTTTATTCTCGAGCATAGTATTTTCAATCAGAAATAGATCGAATAATCTTCTTCTAGTATTATAATGTGACATGCATTATTTTGAAGATTTTACTTTATTATATGCCTATGTATCATTGTAATAGGTCAATATTTTAACCTTTCTCCTTAAAAAAAGATGAGACAGTTGATAACACGAGCTATCAGCTCTTATACGTTGTTTGTCAGTCATCTCTTTGTGTTTATGTTTAAAATTTGTGGAGAACAAATTTCTGAGGCCAATTCAGCATTCAATGTTTCATTAGGCTACATAATGAGATGATTTATCCTATAATTAATAAAACTAACTGCTCAATTAAATCTGCAAATAATAATTGCGTAATCATCAATTGGAGGGCTATTTGGCAACTTACGGATATTTACATTTCACTTCTCTTTGTTCTAACAGAACAACTTATCATAAACTAGTTAGTAGGCCTACACATCCACCTTTTAGTTTTGTTGAAATTTCATTATAATCATTTCCTGTTTGGCTTATACTTTTGATGACATAGGCAATATCTTACATAAGATATGATAATACATAAATGATGGATAAGGATAATAAAATCATCTTAAGACCTAGTTTGTGATTGTTTATCATCTTTTTAGTAATCAAGATTTAACACTTTAGGTTGTTTGCAACTCTGCATTTACATAAATTAGCAATTCTCTATAATCAGAAAATGTCTCATTTCTAAATACTTTTTTAACTCAGTCATACCCAGGAATTTAAAGTTATGATAAATTTTTTATAAACAATATCATACTTGTATCTGAACAATGGGTTATTTTTTAAAAGTTGGAATAAATTTTGAGTCAAATTATTGGAATGATTGAAATAAATTTCTGACGAAAAAAAGCAGTTTATAGTTCGATATTTCCATCCAGCAGGATTTCATAGTTAGGATCTGACTCATAGTGTGTGGTCAATATTGCAATTTCCACATTTGTATTTAGGTCAATTGAATGATAAAGATTCCTATGGATTGTTGATTTATTGTAGATTTATTATTGCCGAATTGAGATAACTGAATTTCTTGTCTTTAAATTGTATCAAGAATTTGTTACTAAACGGAAATGAAATTCCTTTCATTTTTACAAAATAGGTTGGTTGCAGAATTGCAGTTAATAAACCTGAACTTGCCTGCTAGAGTTTGGTTGCCAATATATCCGTGTCATCATCATGTAGTCAGGATTCCACCTTCGGCTGGAGTGGTTTTAAATTCAAAAGATAAGGTAAATTGGAGGGAATGAAGTAAAAAGTCGTAATACTTATTTTAGAACATACTTGCATTTTGCCCCAATGAAAATCAGTATTACAATGGGGTGATGTAACTTTAACTAAAATAACGATAAATAATTTTGCATTTGGTGTGAGTGGTGGGATATATGCTGAACCACGAACATTGAAATCCTTTCAAAAATGTTTTTCCCTGTGTTTCTCAGTAGCAGCTAATTTAATAGTCTGTGATTGTGAAATCCTTCAATAAAAAATTTAATCTAAAATATATGAGATTCTGAAGATTTGTTTATGAATAGCTCGCTGTCCAATGTTTCACAGAAGTGAATATTAATTGTATAATATATATTTAGACAAGTTAGGATTTCTCAAATTAGTGTTTACTCTTATTAACTGAAGCATAATCCAATAATTAACATTCCAGGCACCATATTTAATTTGTGTAGAGGTTTTGGAATGTTCTAACAAAGAAACTGACCCTGTTTCATCAAAATTACTGGAAAGTTCATTGAGGCTTGCAAAATCGGTGGAAAGTTTGAAAGCCGCCAATTCCATGACTGATGTGCAACTACTTTCAAAATCATCATCCACAAAAGTTCTAGTGGGCGCAGAAGCTGTGGCGCATATGGAGGACGGATCAGACAGTAGTGGTTCTAATAACTCTATTGCTGCGATTGGTGTCCTGGATGAAGAAGGTTGGATTTACTAAATTTAATTGATATCCGAGGACAGTTTGATTCCAAATTTAATATTTGAAAAGTTTACGTAAATTGCAATCATTTTATGTCCATACGAGCAATATCTAGAGAATTTGATTAGCCCAATTAACATTAATGATTTGGCATATCTAAGAAGAATATTTTATGTGATAAGCATATCTCGTAATCTGTTATTTGATGACTTAGCCATTGTATATAACAATGATTACATGAATAGTTGAAATAATATTTAATTTTCATGAGGTTTTAAATTATTTGGATGTTGACATTTCTCAGTAACAATATCGGTATTTTATTCAGGCACAGATGACTCAAACGAACATCCAAATGATGAAACTTTAACTGAAAATCAATTTTATAAAGACGAAAACATGGGAACTTTAGAGGAAATTACAAGCCCTATTGATACTATAAATGAGACTGATAGTACTGATAGTGATATTACCGATACAAACGATGAACAGGCTGAGAAAGATGTCAAAAATTATAAGCAAGAACACAAAGCTGCTCATGTTAATGAGGCATTTGAAATGGAATCTGAGGATGCCATGGAGTCACAGACGAATTGTAGAAATAACCAACAAACTATGAGTGAAAATGGTGAATATTCTACAAATCATGAACAGGAAGACGATGATTTGTGGTCTCAGGGAGATATAACTGATCTTGATACTGTTGAGGTAAATTTGTTCATCTGATACTACTTAGAGCAGGGGTCGGCAACTTACGGCCCGTTACGGCAACTTTTTGAGATGATTTTTATTATAAAAAGTATCATCCGTTCGGTCTTCAACTTTACATTCATTCTGGTATTTTTCCAAAAAACTAAAAAAATTGGCAAGCAAACCTAGCCCTGCAGTTATACTGATTTACTGTATATCCTTGCATATGGGCTGAATTTAAAGCTTACATGCGAAACAGCGCTTGGTATGCTATGACATCGATAACAGTCTGTGATTGCGTGTTTACGCTATGATCGGAATTTGAGACACTTATTGTTATTTATAAAAGTAAAACATACCAATAATAATTATCATTTTCATTAATTCTCTTCAACTAATTGCGGTGATAGGTGCGTATGACGTGTTACGATTTGTAGGGTCGGCTTTTCTGCGAAATTTCATTAATTGACCATTTTTAGGGGATTGGCTTATATGCGAGGATATACGGTAGCTCACAGAAATGTGCCAAAATTTTGTGTCGTCAATCTCCATCTAACCTGTATTTTATATTTTACTATCTACAGTCACCAACCCAACCATCATCAAATAAATTTTCAAGTTCTGTACATGCACAAGAAAATCATATAACAATAAGTAACAGCAATTCTGGCAGTGATTCTATATCGGTGTCTCACTTATCAGTACTATCTATCGATAGCATTGTCAGTAATGATACCCTTAGTGTGGAAAGTCAGGAAATATATGTTGCTGCTGGTGATATAAGGTGAGTCTTTGGTAGATTGTTTATATAAGTGGTTCTCAAAACCAAATGTTCTTCATTTGTTATGATTTTTGGAAATTCAGGATGTTTTTTTTTTCAGTCATACTGTGAGACTTTAATTCCTCAGAATGATAATTTTTCAAAAGATTGTTTCCGAAATTAAAAATTTAAGATATCACGCTCACTGGCATCCTTTTGCTAGTTTGAGTAAAAGTAGTGGTTTGTATTTCTGAAACACCAGGATTGATTTGTTTATTTCACTTCATCAGATTGCTAAGCGTTCTGTATACTAATAAATGGTGAATGGTGCTATGTTTCATACATTGTACTACCCTTTTTCAACCTGGATAATGACACGTAGTGCATTAGGAACAAAATATTGATTTGGCAAATTTTCTTGGTTCTAGGAGAAGACTGCTCGAACGATTGAGAGGAAGAGATTCAAGTTGTTTTATACGAGATCCTGATGATCCATCTGCTGCTGCTCTTAAGGAACCATGGGAATCTAAAGTTCGAAGAATACGTGAGGCCTCACCATACGGACATTTACCTAATTGGAAACTGCTATCAGTTATCATTAAGTGTGGTGATGATTTAAGACAAGAACTCTTAGCTTATCAGGTATTGCATATCAATAAACAAATTTCTTAAAAAAAAATTTTAATTTACTATTTCGTTTTTAACCACATTTTGTGATATTTTTGTCAGATGTTAGTGCAACTAAAAGAAATCTGGGATCTTGAAAGAGTACAGTTGTGGATCAAACCATATCGTATAATGGTCATGTCACAAGATAGTGGAATGATCGAACCTATTATGGATGCTATCTCTATACATCAAGTAAGGAACATCAGTGACAACTGACAAGTGATAGCAGTTAAAATCTTACTAAAATGGATGGTTCAGAGGTTTTGTTATTGTTAGAAGTTATCATCAATAGTCACTAAGATGCCCAGTTGATGGTTAAGTAATAGTTTCCGCTTGCGGAACAGCCATCAATATAACGGATTTCATATCTCTTACTCAATTGAGGTACAAAAGGTTAGATGCTTAGCAGTAAATAGGAAATATGCATTAGTATTCTAAGTGGTTCAAGTGTCTTTCTGTCACTGAAATACAGTTGTTCAAATGTACAGCAAGACCCACTTTGAACTGGTATATCTTACAGGTATTTCTGAAGGCTTGTTAAAATTCCAGAATAAATGCTTAGATATGGTCAAAATCATTGCTTAAACTACGCTTATTCACAGGTGAAGAAAAGCAGTCAGTTGTCGCTGCTAAACTATTTCTATCAAGAATTTGGTGGAGCAAATTCTGAAGAGTTTTTAACAGCCCAGAGAAATTTTGTCAAAAGTTCAGCTGCTTATAGCGTTGTCTGCTATCTATTTCAAGTTAAAGATCGGTATATAAATAACATTTTTACCATCATTTTTTGTGTTTTTTTATTTTTCTTTGAGCACTAATCTGTTTAGATGGAGTACAAATATAGGTATCTAACGCCCAGCAATATGGGTACTTCCATAGTTATGGGTACCAGGTTCGGGTTAGGCCATGATTTTATTCTTATTTTAGTTCTCTTACGAGTTCGGGGACTGTCTGTGTTAGCCAAGTGAATACACCCCCTGCCCATAGTAATCAGTCCTTGTACATAACTTGATGTAAAGTAGGCGAACAAAATTAGTTACCTCCATATTGGTACACATACTTCTAGAGCGCCGCAATATGGATGGATGTGTTATGGCTCTTATATAGCTATTGAGAAATATTTGGTAAAATTTTTTTTATTTTTTATTTGCGAACAATATGTTCTGGATGCAAAACTGGAGAAAGTCTGTAATACCACACAACGCACTCACCTTAATATATTCAATCACTTTGTTTTTTTCTGTGTTCTGTTGTCGATGACTTAGAGTTATTTGTTTTCTTACTTTCAGGCACAATGGAAATATTCTCCTAGATGCAGAAGGTCATATAATCCATATAGACTTCGGATTTATTTTGTCTTCATCTCCCAAAAATTTAGGATTCGAAAGTTCTCCATTCAAACTCACAGAAGAATTTGTTGAGGTACAATTACTACTGTCGTGTGTTTATTGTAATGGACTAGTGATATGCTTGAATGTGAAAATTCAAGTACAAGGCAGAAATATAGAAATTGATTTAGTCTCTTGGTTCAAAAGCTGATATTGTTTATGGTCAGTTCTTTTTAAATACACTGGCACATGTGACAGTGAATCCATCATTTTTTCAATTTATTACGCCAAAATAAATGAAAATTTCTCTGTTAGAAGAGGACTAGAATTTATGCTTTTCATACAAGTGACATTGACTGAACATAGCTTGATAGAATTATACACAGCTACTCTCCCAAATTAACATCACTTTTTGATTTTTGTAAAGCATTTACCTCCCATATGAAAGTTAAAGTATCGTATGTGTTTTCTGATTCACATTCTTCTGTTGCCATTTGGTATTATACTCCTCTGATATTCAATGAACCTCGATGTTTTTCATTTGGTAGTTTTAGCTTGAGTGTGCGGCTTCATTATGTGAATCCATTTGTCTCCATGCCAATGTGGTGCGAATAATCGCTATAAATGGTAGAGTGTTGTAATCAGTTGCTACTTGTAACATATATCAAAAGTAATTAATGTTATTTGCATTTTCTCTCATTTAGTTCAAAAAAGTATCTTTTATACAAGTATTATATATATACAGATTCCATTAACCGGTCATCACAATGCACAACTAGGGGTTACTTCATGCTGCAATTATTGAAAAACAATTTTGTTTCTCGCAGGTGATGGGGGGACTGGATGGTGATATGTTCGCTTATTATAAAATATTGATTTTACAAGGACTGATAGCAGCAAGAAAACATATGGAAAAAATTATACAGCTTGTTGAAATAATGTCAGCAGGTATGAACATAGATGCCATATTTCTTTTTATGAGAAACTGGATAAAATAAATATATTAAAGGTGCAAAGATGCTTTAAACCTCATTGATATAGTCCATGACTTTGAGTTTCAATGCTCTCATTTCTTTGTGATTACAGAAGTCGGGCTCATGAACTGAAATTCATAGTTAATAAACTCTTGATACCTTAATATAAAGGAAACTATCCAAGGTCACTTTGTGAAATAATGAACAAGACAAGCAATTTACACTTGCAGAAATGGCCCAGCAGTTTTAATGTGAATGTAACAAGAAATAGAAATAGCCTACATCGTGTGAATAAATTTATTAGTAGAAAAAAGACAAAACTCAATACTAGTATAATTTTGGTTTGTGTATTGTTATCTATTCTGCAGGACCGTCGCTAACATGTTTACAAGGCATCAGCACAATAAAAGCACTTCGAGAAAGATTTCACATGTCATTAACAGAAGACCAATTACACGAACTTGTTGATTATATGGTAGAGGGATCAATGCGTTCATGGACAACAAAACTTTATGACGGTTTCCAATATTTAACAAACGGTATTGCTCACTGATCATGCAAGATTGGGTCTTTGTGAACTTTTTCCTGTCCCTTTTAACAGAATATGATAGTATGAGGAGTTAGTGCCAACAATTTTAAATGTTTCTTCTGTATTATTTCTGTATGTTGGCTTCAAAATATTTCACACTTGTTTTGTAATAGACATAACATATTTTTATATGTATGTGTTTGATATTTTTGAGATGTATTGATGTTTTTGTTCAGCAGCTAACTTGTGGATTCTGTATTTAAATTTCATGACTTTTGAGCAGGAGATCTATTTTATATCCAGTCATGTATTGGTCATTCCCAAATTGTCTGAGCGATCTACATTGGTGATTTATGTTCATTCAAATGAAAATTTCTAGATATATTCATACATTATAACATGTTTTGTGGTACAGTGCTATGTAAATATTTGGCAAATTATAAAAATTACACGAGTAATGTAATAATGAATCATTAAAAACATTCTGACTATAAGAAAAAGGTTTTATACGATTTAAGTATCGTTTTCATTCAAAATCCCAAATTTAGAAAATGACAGTTTGTTTGTAACTTCAGTAGTATGGTGCACATTTTGACAAATTGATAATAAGCGCCAAACTAATAAGAAGCAAAACTATAGGTTTTGCCAATGTGGATGTAGTCGGGGGAAAGCCAAAATCAAACATTTACTATTCTGAAGACATTTTCATTTACTGTTATCAAATAGTTTAGGGAAATTTGAACAAATAATTATAAATTCATAGAAATAAATTGTTAAATAGTTGAGCTAAACATTTTTTTGATTGATTTGCTATTAATTAATTGAAAGCTACTTTTGTGACAGAGATTCAACAGGGATCTACGTTAAGTTGTCATATTTCTATTGAAATAGCTTGTATTGGTTTATGATATTAATTTAATGAACTTAAGACACAATTTTGAATAAAATACAATAAATTCTTATAGGTGTGAGTATCTATTTTTATGATTTGATAAGACATGTAAACTTTTTCTTCATGAAACGCCATGTGCTCTATCATTTAATGTTAAGAGTTCACTTGTGAATGAAATTCTTTTCGAATGCTTGAAGCTAGTTCATGTTGTGCATTTGTTCCCTGCTATTTAAATATGTTGCTGTTACCTGTTTTTTTATATTTTTCAGCCAAAATTTGTTCATATTTACATAATATTATAATCTTCGCTTTCAATGCACGACATGAGTATTTTGATAAAAATCTTGATATTTTCATTCCGTGAAACTTCAAATCATCCATGTTACTAATTGTTCCATTTGTGAATATCAGGAAGCAAATTTTATCTTAGATTTAAATACATTAGTTTCTTGTAATGAGATATGGTTGGTTAACAACCATGCTGCTTCCTGGATTTTGGATTTTATTAATCTATTTTTAAAATCCCGACTTCGACACATTCTTGTGCTGTCACTACAAACGTTATGATTCATCATTAAACTACCTGATTACCATTTACACGACTTTTTTTAATTCTATGATAAACTAATCGATTATTTTATGTGTATACTTATACATGATTTTTATTCTCTTTATCATTTGCCATTGCAATGTAACACGATTTGTTTGATATTATTGTTCTTTACTGGTTCTACGTATCATTGTTCGATCATATTTCTTTCAACCTTTAGTGGTCGAAATTGTACCAATTTATTTCTTTGTATGTTCATCAGCTACCAGGATATAGGGTGGTTCAACTTGTTTTTTGGAAATAGCTACCATCCACGAATTCAAATTTTTTATATCTGTGGAAATATGTCGTGCATTTTGAACCTAAATATCTTTACTCTCATAATTTGAAAAGTTGTAGAATGAGTCTGAAAAACTAAAACCTACACTGGGTGAAAAGTAATATCTAATTAACATCTAATTTTATTTGTTTGGCATGACTAATGATGAATTCTATTCTATAAATTCCCCATCAGTCGCCGTCTTAATGTTTGTCAATATGTGCCTGATTATTACGAGAAAAGTGTGGGCTGATTTTGAATTTCTTAATAACTCAATGAACTTATGTATCTAACAACTGTGCGAATTTACTATCTATTTATATTTTATGGTGGCATCATTGTCAATACCTATTAAAAGTGTGATCTGAATATTTGTAGAATTGTTATCCAATGTCACAGAATTACTGGAGTTGGAAGGACCAAAAAAGATGTTCAGTTTTTTTTAGAAAGATTTTTTATTGTATTGTTTTCAATTTGTGAAATCAGAATTGCTAGTATGTTAATAATACGGTAAATCATATGTTGTTACATGATTTATCCATTTATAGTATGGCATTTTGTCTATGTTCAATTTCCTCCCTATGTGTTGTAACAGTTATTATCCATAAAAAAGGTAGCCAAAGTTTGCGGCATTGCTGTGTTCACTCAATGCCCAGAATTCAGATATCTTCCATTTATCTTATTGTTACAAGTAGAGATTTGAGAAATAATATATTTTGATTTATCACAAAACTTTAAATACTCGCAAAGAGTATTATGATATTGCCCCTGTTCCATCGCCCATTTTGTTGGTTTTCTGCTGCATAAAAAAAATCCCAATTCAAAGACGGAAACCTTGTGGCGGTTAGTTAGCTTACAACTAATATCAGTCGGCGCTAAGCAGGTATAGGTGAGTTGTCTGTCACGGACCATAATAACCAATCCGGAATCTTGGGTCTTCTGACTTATTTACACAGTAGCAAAACCATATCTGTGACAATGACGAGCACGCCAAGATTTGGCTGAAACCTATCTGTGACGATGGCGAGCACGGCGACGGATTTGGTTGAAGTGACGTCAACTTCTGAGGATTGGAGAATGGGACGGATCCGAAGTGCGTTACCCTTGCGCATTCAAGAACTGTGTTTCGGCGGACCATAACCACATCTTCTAGAGAGGTGCAACGCAATATAAAGGAAGGTTGGTAAGGGTGAGACTGAGGTGTCTTTATCCAGTAATCCGACAGAGATGGTCAATGTATAGTTGAACGTGACCTGTGGTATGGACCATTATAATATTGTCAAAATTAAAAACTTTCGGGTTGATGCCTTTGTTCGGGTCGCGTTTTCCTTCTTTGCACTGATTGGCTGATGAGATGGGCATCCGTGGTAATGGCTGACGTAAATATTTCATAAGTTTTTTTGTTAAATACGTTTGCACACCCACGTTCCGTTTGAGTGAGTTCGATATTGCAGGTGAAAATGTTTCTTTTGGTAGAAATACTCCGTGTGGTACAAGTTGCAGCAATGTTTGGGAAATGAAATTGTGGTTGAAGCTAGCTGGACTTTTGTGACCGGTTTTTGGATATGGAATTGATTGTATTGACTTCAGTGGTGGAGCCCTTTAGTCATAGAACCCAATTGTGTGTGGCAAATATGAGCTAGTAACCGTTGCATATCGGAGGTGGAGCCATGTTCGGAATAGTGAATTCAAGGTTTGCCCCTAGTACTGGATATGATGAACGCGTGGATCAGAAAAGAAACTGTTAGTTCTATTTTTGCTTACTCCCATATTTATTTCATAATTATGGCAGGGTTTTTTGAGAATAAACGGGCCATGATGTCCGTGTTTTTGTTTTGTTCATATTTTGTATGATTACCCCTTATTTAATGCTGTTTTGTCGGGTCTGAGCTTTTCAGTTATGTCTGCTGCTTTCGATGTTTTAAGTGTGGAGTTGCCGTATCAATAAATGACAAATCCGAAATATTGGGTCTTTTGATCTAACAACCCCGGTAGCAAAACCAAACTGTGACACATCGACATCGTAACTCCGCAGGGCGATTTCTCGGGAGGGCAGTTGTCTGTCTCTCATTTCACAAGAGGCGAGTTATCTACCTCTCGAGCATCGATATCGTAACTTCACAGAGCAATTGCTTTAGGGGTGGCCCTGCCTCTTATTGCTCGGCAGACGAGTTGTCTGCCTTTCGAGCATGATATCGTAACTTCGAAGTGCAATTGCTTGGTAGGTAAGTTGTCTGTCTCGTGAGCATTGACATTGTATCTTCGCAGAGCAATTTTTCGGGAGGCGAGTTGAGACTCATGCGACCGTCGGTGTCGACGGTGGCTAGAAAGCTCACATTTGTGACTATGTACGGTTAATATCATGTCTAAAGGTCCTAATATGTTTAAAAATACACGTTCGATATCAACAAAACTCGTATAACGTCGGACGTCGATAACGTTACAACAGACTTCTATAGATTGTATCATATCTGTAGTATTCGTAAAATATGAGCATGTGTCACTTGAGCACATAAAAAGTTGAAAGTGAGAATATATGTCTTCCTCGTCATTGGAGACCTGGAAAGATCGAAATTACACCCTTGTAGTCAGTGCTCAATTGAGCAAAATAAGCGCGTGTTAAGGCACCATGAGAAAGGAGACACCCCAGATACCGTATTTTCATAGATTGTTCGTATTGTTTGATGCGGGGGTGCACAACCTGTGGCCGTATGGCTTCATGCTCCGTCGAAGATGAAAATTGCGGCCGTGTTTTAGCTGCAAAATAAAGCACAAGGCAAGAATACTTACAATGCCTAGTAAAAAATCATGTAGAATTTAGGTAATTACTTGAGGCGTCATTGACCTTTTCGCACATTCTTTTTAATCTTGTCGACTCGTATAGATCTGCACTGTTTTTTTTTCTGTTAACCGGTTAACCGATTTCAGATGATTAACGGTTATGATTTAATTTAACCTTTAACTGGCATCTCAGGTACAAATCATCTTCATACCGTACAATATCGTCAAATATGATTACGTCATCGCAAATTTATCTCTTGCGGCGTTTAATTCAAAAAAATATTACTAACTGTGTGGGTAAGGAATTAATAAATGGGAAAAATAATGGAAGTACCAAGGTTGCTGATAATGAAAATTTACAATGATAAATTCAGAATCAGTTTTCGGTCGATTTCGTCGAAATATATTGTTCACGATTTCATTGCAAAATCGGATATTCAATGCCATACAACAAGTGTGCAGTTGATGCCCTTTTTCCTTATGATATATATCTCGAAGTAGAATTTGCACATCGAACACTAAAAATTTGTCACATAAATGACGTTTAACAACGGAATCGGGTTTTCTAAAATATTTCCACATGCCGAACCGCGCTGCCTCTCTTTTGCAGCAGAGGAATCATGAAACTATCTCGATTCGTGAATAATTTCGAGCGATACCGGGATAAGAAGTTAAGAACACGCGAAATTGCTTTATACCCATTGTGACGTAACAAGCTGAAATTATAATTATTACGTCAAACGTCACGCGGCGGTTAACCGGTTAATTTTACCCGGTTAACGGTTAAAGTGTTTTCCCTGAAATTCCCAGCCCTACAGTGATTACCCTTCGTGGGATCGCAGGTTCGAATCTCATGAGGGGATGATTATGTGCGAGATATTGCTGGACTCCTCGCCGCCGTAGGGTGGTTCACGTAACCGTTGGTCGGTTACGGCTTCCTCTATCATCAAGTCCATGCCGAAAACAAATAACTGGCCAACTAATCCCATACCCGACCTGGACTGGTAACCGGACGAGAGGCCGTGGTTCGCCATATGATTAAGCCGTCTTATCGGCTTTCCTCTCCCCCGGGATAAATATGTAAGTCCTATCCTATCCTTTGTAGATTCGGAAACAAAGGGCATTTATTAAGTTTTAGACGCGAGACTGTGGGATATACCCAGTGGTGGTATTCAGCCGGTTCGCAGCGTTCTTTAGAACCGTCTCACGGAATTTTATGAAATCAGCGAATAGGTTAGGATTACTGGTTACTGTCTGATCGGTTTGGTGAATATCTGTGGCACACACTCCCTGACTTCAATCAGCCAGTAGCCTATTTGTTGTGCCAGGAATCCTTCTGATAAGTCAACGATGGGAGCTTGCCTTCTGGGTTTGGATACGCTTAACCTGACTGCCGCTGAAATTCCAATGCACTAAACCAGACACAGTTCCGAATCGAACTTGTTTTATTTTACCACTCAACATAAAGTGTTATTGTGGCCACTCGTGTAAGGTCAGGTGATTTAAAAATAGTTTGGACTGCAACGCATCCAAATCCTACTTAATCAGATATACATATGTAACTAAATGCAAAAATAAATACAGTTTTAAGTACAATCCTAATAACTTTATCCCTATTTCAACACATGTCTACATAAAACACAACCCTAAGTTCCCTAAAATACAACCCTAAGTTATTATTGAATCTACAACAAAAAACGTGCGGCCCTTTTACCAGTGCTGATAAACCAAGAGACTGTCGCAACAACAGGTTGCCACAATATGCACCATATACCAATTACGAATGGGCACTAGATTGCAATCAGAAAGTATTATGTCAATTGAATGCGAGTCATCAAAAGTGGATACTAAGTCTGTACCTAAAACAGTTCTAAATAAATGAAATAATATACAAATACCAATGTGCATTGACTAAATAAATACATCAGAATATTTGCATAAGAAAAGCAATATGTGGCAACACTATATGCACTGCCTTATTAGGAATGAAACGGCAATCATCCTCAACACACCGGCCCCAATCATTTTGTTCACAAAATTATTTTAAACAATGAGGATGATTTATCCAACAATCGAACACAATGAAAACATGCAATAAAATAACATACCGAGAACATGAAATGAAACAACATATACAAAAAAATGACCTGGACCACTGAACATGTTTGGCAATAAAGGACAGAAGCTTAAGCAGCTTCAAGTAGGCAGAGTTTCCTAACATCACGAACTAGATCAGAATTCCTAGTATGAACCTTAACCCTCCTAACCATCCCATCCTTATCGGGAAATACCTCAATCACTCTACCCTTGGGCCAAACGCCGCGCGGAGTATCGCCGCCATACAGAAGCACAATGTCACCCACTTTCAAATTTCTCTCAGGAAAGAGCCATTTCTGTCTCTTTTGCAATAGCGGTAAATACTCCTTTGTCCAGCGATTCCAGAATCGATCAAGACTGAGCTGGACATGTCTCCAATTTTCGCGAAACTCGTCACCGCGCGTAAACTTATCGGGAGCAATAGAGGGATCAAGATTTCCAGTCAAAATGGAATTTGGTGTCAGAACCTCCAAATCCCTTGCATCATCACTAATAGGTGTCAATGGGCGATCATTCAGAATTCTTTCTACCCCAGTCAGCATGGAGATGAGCGAAAAATCAGTAAATGTTCGTGATTTCGCACAAATCGCATAAAGAACTCTTTTTGCCTCCCGGACCATTATCTCAACCAAGCCATTTTGGTGAGGTGCTAAAGGCGGTTGAAAATCCCACTGAATTCCATGTTGTGACAGAGAATTTGCAATTTGACTCTGATTCCACTTACAAATCCCCTCAGCAAGAAGTCTCTCACCAGCCACAAAGTTTGTGCCATTATCTGAAATTACATGGGATGGTTTTGAACGCCTATCACAAAATCGAAAAAAGGCCTGCAAAAATGCAGATGCATCAAGTGATTCCGAGACCTCAATATGAACAGCCCTAGTGACTGAACAGGTGAATATGCATCCATACCGCTTGTATTCCTTACGTCCCAATTTGACTTTCAATGGGCCAAAGTAATCTACAGCAGTGTGATAGAAAGGAGTGCGACCACCCAGAACACGCGACTCTGGCAGAGGAGCCATCCACTGTGAACCAGGTCTACTCGCCCTCAACTTGCACAATTTACAAGCATTCAGCACCTTACGAACTTCCGCCTGTCCACAAAGAATCCAAAATTTTTCCCGCACAGAGGAAAGAGTGTGCAATGTACCAGAATGACCATTTTGTCGATGATAATACTCTATTATCAATTTTGTCACATGATGATGAGGTGGTAATATTATTGGATGCTTCTTCTCCGGTGATAAATGTGAGTGTCGAAGACGGCCACCCACCCGCAAAATATCATTGTCTAAAAATGGGCTAAGTTTAATGAGAGCCTTAGAATGTGGTGATGTAGGCAACTTACAACAACTGCTCAAGTAGTCTGGTCCGTCATGTACACGCTCACTAAAATATTCGAGCTCTGGAGAAAACGATTCAATTTGGGCCAACTTGCAGATCTGAATAGTTGCTACACTAAGTTCCGTAACAGTTAAATCTCCAGTCATTGGAGAGTCATTTGATCGACAGGTTTTCCACAAAATAAAAAACTTAAAACGCAACATCCATGCAATTGTTCTCGACAATTTTTCCCACGTTGAATAGCGATTTATTAACTCAGGAAAATACTGGGATCTCTTTTGAACTTCAACAAGATTCACCTTAATTTCACAATGTAAATCGGAATTAGTTGGTATGGTATCTGACACTGATGAAGTGCCAGGCCATGAAACACTTTGTTGCCACAAAAAACTCGGACCTTGAAACCATAATTTTGCCTTATCCAGCTTATCTGGCATAAGGCCACGAGAAGCGATGTCTGCTGGATTTTCATTTGTTGGAACATGAGACCACTGCGACACATCAGAGATTGATTGAATAATATTAACCCGATTGGCTACAAAAGTCTTAAAGCGCTGTGATCTACTATTCAACATCTGCAACACAGTCATCGAGTCTGTCCAATAACAAGTTTCGTGTATCTCATAGTCTAGTGCATTTGTGACAGAATGAGCAAGTTCTGTAGCAACGACTGCCGCAGTCAATTCTAGTCGTGGAATTGTCACTAGCTTCTTGGGGGTAACACGCGCAGTACCCTTTACAAATGCACAGTGAACCTCGCCGGATTCGTTCTCCAACCTAAGGTACGCTACTGCACCGTAGCCCACTCTACTTGCATCGCAAAAACAGTGGAGCTGCACATTCGCCGCCTCAAATCCTTCCGGTTTGTAGCAACGTTGTATAGTCAACTCCCTCAAACTAGGCAAGGTGCTGATCCATTTCTCCCAACCATCATACAAGTCTCCCTCGACAGGATCATCCCACGAGTAACCCAAAAAACACAAATCCTGCAAAATGCGCTTTGCGGGAATCAAAAACGGTTGAATAAACCCCAATGGATCATATACCTGGCCAAGCATGCTGAGCATGCCACGGCGCGTTGAGGGTCGAAACTCAATTTCCACCCGAACCTTGAAGACGTCGTGCACCATGTTCCAATAAATTCCCAGCGTACGTTCCGTCAACTCTGTACTAAAGTCAAGCGCTTTCGTTGCGGTTGAGCGATGCGCCTCGGGAATCGCTTCCATTACTTCAATTTTATTACAAGCAAACTTTGTAAGACAGAACCCACCCGATGCGAGTAATTCGATCAGCTGATTTATCAATTGAAGTGTTTCATCGACGGTACGTTTCGACTTCACACCATCATCAACGAAAAAACTGCGTTGCACTGTCTGTATCGTTTCCAGATCAGCATTCGTTAGATTGTCATCAGCGACACGTTTCAACACAAATGACGCAATCGAAGGACTCGACGCCGCGCCAAAAACATGCGAACACATTCGCAGATCAATAGGTTTCTTTCCCAAGTCGTCATTCGGATACCACAGAAAACGCATCGCATCACGATCTCGACTGTCCAGAATAACACGTAGATACATTTCGCGCACATCACAAATAAAGGCAACCGCTTCCTCGCGAAACCGCAGTAGAATACTCACCAAATTCGTATTTAGGTCTGGACCTGAAAGTAAATTCTTGTTAAGTGAAGTGCCGCCGCACTCCGCACTGCAATCGAAAACAACCCGGAACTTGGCCCCAGTAGAGTGGTGTGGCATATACCAAGTCCTACCCAGAGACCCAGGATCACCCTCAGGCACTATTTCCGCATACCCCTTGTCTAAGTAATCATTAATTTTGGACTTGTATTTAAAAAATAAATCAGGGTCCCTAATGAATTTTCGTTTTTGGGACTCTAATCTTTTCACTGCCATTTGACGATTGTTTGGAAGTTTAATATTTTTATCTTTCCATGGAAGAGCAACTTGGTACCTCCCATTTACTTTTACTGCAGTGTCATTCATCACTACAAGAGCTTTCTTATCATCTAGGGAATGTTCAGTGGTGAAGGGATCACAATCTAAATCTATAAAATCATGACCACAAATTTTGCACAAAAATTGATCAGTATCACATGCACACACAGTATTTAGACGAGGACATGAAACATCACTTACACTTTCACAACTGCTATGAGACATAGTTCTGTCAGGACCGAAAAGAGCCCAACCAAATACTGTCCTGTGAGCAGCGGGAAACTTTGCCTTTTGATCACAAAGCCTAATTTCAGAAATGGGATGATTGGCTAACACTTCAGCACCAATCAATAAATCAACCTCACTAGATCCTAGCACAGGAAATTCCAAATCACTCAAATGAGGATATTTCTGCAACACATTAGCAGTCGGGATAGAACTCTCTAAATTGGGTAAATTAATTGCCAAAACATTGGGAATGTCAACAACCCTTTCCGAATCACAACCTTTTACTTTCAGTGAAACTGTTTTACCACTGTGTAATTTACTACCATTCGCTGTTGCGAGCATACAATCTTCAGGTTTACCCTCAATACCCAATTTTGCAAGTAAATTGTGGGAGCACAAGGATCTGGTAGACCCTTCATCTAAAAAGGCATAAGTACACACAGCATCAGAAGCACCATTGCTGGTAACCTCCACAGGTACAACCTTAAGTCTAACAAAATTTTGAATATTTTCCGAACAATTAACATTTGCGAAATAAGCACCGGCCCCATTTTCTTTCTTGGGGGCAGACACATTATTTTGAGAATTAGCATTGCTAGAAAAATGAGCACCAGTGGTTGGTGGCTTCTTTTGATCAACATGTAATAAACTGTGATGTAATTTACCACAGCCATTCACTTGACACACATATTTAGAAGGACAATTATTTGCACGATGAGAACGATACAAGCAATTAAAGCAAAGATTATTTCGTCTCACCATTTCGGCGCGATCATTAACACTTCTCCCTTTAAACTCGACACAGTTGTGTAAAGCATGATTTCCTTGACAGTCCACACACTTGTACTGCAAATCAGCTACCTTGGGTCCTGGAGTCTTCTCTTGGGTATTGGTGACTGCATACGATGTGGTTCTTGTCATCCTAGGTTTGGTGACTCGAATAGTTGATTTCTGTTTGGCAGAATTCTTGGTCACAATCCGACCATAAAATGTAGTAGTTAGCTGCGCTTTCTTCACCACGAATGCAACCAAGTGTGAAAATGTAGGAAGTTTACTGTCATCAAATTGGTCCGCATACTTTCGTTGCAAGTACATGGGCAGACGTGAGAATACACGCTCAAGATTTTCATAGCCATCCATGAATGAATTTGCATTCCACTCACTAAGCACAATCTCACAATTACGCAGTTGAGTGGCCAACTTGCAAAGTCCTTGAGTGTCATCGTCCATAATCTTGGGACCATTTGTTACCTCTTTACTTGTAGCTTCAATTACCACAGTTCGGTTACCAAACTGTTCATGTAAGGTTTGCCACGCCATCTGATAGCCCTTGCTTGGTGGCGACACTAGTACTAAATTCTTGATGGCATCCTTTGCGATGCCAGAACACAATTGAATCAGCTGTGCAAGCTTTGTCTCAGGCGCATGTTGGTGACAATGAATGTTAGTCTCAAATGACTTCATGAAGGCATGGAAACGCAGGGGATTTCCATCAAACTCCATCAGTTCAACTTTGGGCAATGTGAAACCTTCTCGCAGAGCATTAATCATAGCACCATAATCTGGAGGAACAGCACTTGTTGCTGTTTGAAGTGGCAAAGCTGAATTCGGTACCGCCTGATAAATCCCATCGCCAACTTGACGATTGCCACTTTCGTATGAATTTACTACTGGCTGATGCGCACCAGTAGCAAGTGTTGACACAGATGGTGCAAAACCGCTCTGAACGACACCTCCACTGCCATATGAATTTACTACTGGCTGATGCGCACCAGTAGCATGTGTTAACACAGGTGGTACAGAACCGCAGCTCTGCAGCACTCCTTCTCTTGCATATGAATTTACTACTGGCTGATGCGCACCAGTAGCATGTGTTAACACAGGTGGTACAGAACCGCAGCTCTGCAGCACTCCTTCCCTTGCATATGAATTTACTACTGGCTGATGCGCACCAGTAGCATGTGTTAACACAGGTGGTACAGAACCGCAGCTCTGCCAACAGGGGTGATAACTTTTTTGTGGCTTTGGAGCCAGGCCACACAAAAGGGGCCAGGCCACGGAGAAAATGGGGCCAGGCCACAGAGAAAATGGGGCCAGGCCTCAGAATATTTGGGGCCAGGCCAGCGCAATGGTAATGTTAAGACATCCGTATTTGTTTAGTTATATTTTTGTTTATAAGTAATGTGGAAACTGGTAATGTTAAGACCTGTACAATTGAACCGTAATGTATGTTACAACCCGGGAAAATGCTGTATTCGAACTCTTACTCATTACAAATGTAGAGGTATAAGTTTATTTCGACTCCATAATCAGCAATAGACGATAAAATAATAGATAAAAACAAATGATAAAGTAACTGATTATAGAATCGGGAAAGCAAACAAAACCTCAAGTGAAGTTTAAAGCCTACATATTTTAGATGGAAAGATATTGATAAAAGAAGTAGTACGTGTTCGCTCACCCAATGTATTACTTATGTGAGGGGGTTATATTGCGAGCGATACATTATTGTAGTGTTTCCACTGGTCACCGTATCTATATATTTATATTCCTCACCGCATTCATTGTCTTTTTACTGTAGCGTGAACTGGTGCCTATATGTTAAAAAAAACTCAGTGAAATAAGTTATATTTATTGCTTGTTGCATACCTTTTTGTGATTGTTAATTTTTTTAGCGAATATGTGTTGTTATTTAATTATTTTCATACAATACATGGTTAATAGATCAGTGACTCAAATGCTATTATTAAATGAAGTCCGTACTGATAAATTGTGTAGTTCTACCTGTATTGCATAGACAATTGACAGGGGTTTGCACACTAAGATGTTTTAGATTTATAATACAAATTGCAGGCACAACATATCGGTAGCTGGTATACGCTACCACAACCACTAGTATCCCAATACTCAACATACAAAAAACACTACTCTTCTCCGTTATACATTATCCCTAACAGAAAACAAGATCCATGCATACCAGTTGATTAACTGTTTCATTTATTGAAAAATATGCAAAAAAAAATTGCAAACACCAGATTGGCAGGATCCCAACATTGAAAATAAGATTCATCTGCGAGGGAGTCCTTTTTGTTAGCATCTTAAGACTTTCCTATTACCGATAATTACTTCAATTATATTCAGCGTAATGAATATCAGGGATAAATGTTCAATCATAAGACTGTTTTTTCAATATAAGTCATCATAGATATATCGGAAAAGTAACAGTAGTACAAACGCATATTAGATAATCATAAGCAAGGAAATTGTAAGACTCTTTTGACTTGAACTGGTTTAAAGATTCAAGGGAAAATTCGCAAAATTCAATTTGGTATTTTTTCAAATTTGTTTTTAGCAACTACACCGGTAAGGTTGAGTATCTCCTACACAATATAAAACCAAAATTCTATAGAGTCCGTATTGTTGTCATCATAGCAGACACCATGATTTAATTTCTTCTTCTCTCCAAGCTATAAAACAAAAAAATTATGTTAAAATTCTTGATGACTTGAGTGGTTTATTATTTTACAATACTGGGAATCAAAATACATATTTCACCAATAAATACTTTTTAATCCTGCACACCATTTTGAGAATACAGGTAAACGTAAAATTAAATGGTAGTGATATTAGGGAGTGGGGTTTTATGGCACGGTTGTTAGCAACAATAAGGGATGAAATTTATCTAACAGAAGGAAGTATGTAGGTTTCATATAGAATTATTACATCATTTTTATCATTGTCAACTAGTCAATTCAAATCTAACGAAGATTCAATAAAACATGGTGTTTATTCGACTAGACCAGGGGTTCTCAACCTTTTTTCTGCAAAATACCCCCCCGAGGCACGAAACAATCAACGCGAACCCCCAGTAATGTGACACCGAACAAAGTTGTGATATATCGATTAACAATTTGTTGAAACAACAATTTATTGACCAGATAAAACTAAATTTAATTTCCCTGTCACTAATATTGCCCTAACTAATAAATTCTTGAAATCCCTCTCAAATTTCAATTAGGAAATCACTTTCTCCAGTGCTCGCAGCACGCTGTATTTTCTGTAAATTCCACATTGTTTACATCACAATCACAACAACGCAAGATCAGGGAAAATCTAGGTTTCAATTGGCATCCAGTTTCAATCGGCACGCATTTTCCTCTGGTAGTAATAAAGGATATTAAAAACAGCAACACGCAAAAACTCGACTGCCATCCAAGTACCCCCTGAAATCTTCTCGCGAACCCCAGGTTGAGAACCCCTGGACTAAAGACTGCTTGGTCCATCCCTGATTTGTATACATCGCAGATCACTTCATTATCAAAAACTCATTAGGTTAGGAAACAAATGGAATGGGCCAATTTTTATATTCTATTCTGTTTTTACTTATTGTTGCCTATGTCCTGCTATAAAGCTCAGTACAAACAATACGTCAAACTCACATTGAGGTACATAGAATCTAAATAAATCTTCGAGCAATCATAATACCACACTTGCCAATTCCACGTCATTGTTTTATGTACGCGATGTTTTGGAGAAGCAAAATCAATAACATGGAAACTACGACAACTGTTTGCATGTCGTTACGACGTGAGCACCTGAGATGTCACAAAAATTATGTTATTTGTTAAAGCCATACTGAACAATTTTTTATCATGTGATACAATTAATACATATTAGGCATTACATGTATTTCTTTACAATGCTTAGTGATTGAGGCAATATTTAAAAATGAAACCGATAGTGGCAAAAAATTCACATCTTACACTTTTATAAAAAAAAGAGTGCTTAATAGGGAACACCATTTGCAAAAAACATCTTGCGAGAACATCTCTTGAAAATGAAATTTTTCCAAATACAGTATAAAAATAGCAAATAGTCAAGAAAAATTGTGAAAGAACTTGCAAATGTTATTTTAGGAAAACAAATGTACAAAATTCAGACTTGACTATTAGACACTGTAGACTTAAGAGGTTCTACAGGTCCTATTTCTGATTATTGGGCTGTCTTGTCAATCTACTTCCGTAGCTAACTCTCGACACAGTAGTAACACACACATAAACACATCCAACTTGTATGAAAGAACTTGTAATGAAAGTATATTTACAGTATATACAAGTCACAGTCCAGTAAAATTCCACAATCAGGTTAAAAGTTCCACAGTAGATAGATAAATTTCCACAGCAAGTATAACGGCAGTGTAACACAGTGAATGTAAAAACTTGATGTCTGTATGTAAATGTATGGTGTGTATTGTATGATGTGGTTACAATATATTTGTGTCTCCAGCCCAACAACAGTACTTAAATTTAGCTACAAGACACAAAAACAATAAAAGAGTATAATTAGCCTTCGACATACAACTCAATTAGAACCTATATTACTAAATAACCCTAAACATCTTAACAATTCTAAATTAGCATAATCAAAACCCTACAATTTGCAACTCAATGCCGCAAAGTAATCGCAGCTACTAACAAAGAAATTCATGTGACCAGGCCTCATTGCACTGTCTCCCACACTAATAAATAGGACATTTAGTATAATACAATAAGAATAACAAGGGCATGAATACAAATCAGCTGATATAAGAGAGTATTGCACCATCATTGCCAAGACGCTTAATATAAATAAACAAATAAATAAACGAGAGCAAGTCTAAACATGATTATCGGGACCAGAATAACTAAAACTAATAGGTTAATTCACGAAAGTTAAATTTCTGCCTGTAACAGACACAATCTTGACTGGAACAAAAAAATTTAACAATGGAGATTGTATACAGGTCTCATCTGTACAGTTATTGTTACAATGATGTGATCAAGGCAAATAATACCAAATCTTACCATTATACTATTCCATCTATTTTAGTATTTAATCTTTGTAGTGGAATCTCGTTCGGAATATATTTTTATGTCTTCTCGGAAAAACTTTTTCGCTTGATTCCTGGTTTCATTATCAATTTAAACAATCCCTGAAATCAGATCCAATTATGTATGTAGTAGTAATCATCACAAGAATATAATACAAATATGTTATGCATGCTTCAGGTGGATATAAAAATATAAGGAATATTAATAGGTCTTTCTAGCTTTGTCTCAACCGTAAAACATTGCAGAACAATCTCAAAAACAATTGAATGACGAACGAATATAAAAGTGTGAATCAAAGCTTCCCCCAAAACCAGTCTTAAATGAAAAATCCAGTGCGCCAGCTAATGTTATCTAATAAATAATATACATTGTAATATTAGGCTAAAATGTATAGTCTGATATGAGTATTACTTATAAATAGTTTGAGTGAGATAAGCTTGAAATATTTTTCCCAACCTGGATAGGATAGGATTTACATATTTATCCCGGGGGAGAGGAAAGCCGATAAGACGGCTTATCCATATGGCGAACCACGGCCTCTCGTCCGGTTACCATTCCAAGTCGGGTATGGGATTAGTTTTACTGTATTGTTTGTTTTCGGAAGCATGGACTTGGTGGTGGAGGAAGCAGTAACCGACCAGCGGTTACGTGAACCACCCAACGACGGCGAGGAGTCCAGCAATCCTCTCGCACATAACCATCCCTGCATGGGATTCGAACCTGCGAACCCACGCAGAGTAATTAGAGGTGCGGTGGCGCGCGTATTCCTAACGCTTGGCCCGTTGAGCCACACCGCCGCGCACCTGGTAAAGGTAAACTACAAATTAGCTTTCATATTCATAATCTATGATCAAATTAATATGATACCAGCTTCTTACAGCCTAATTCTTGTATACATTTCTCAGTTATCGTGTAGTATCTGTTTCACTGCGATCATTACTCATATCAGCATATATACTGAACAAAAAACATTAATTCCCCAAAAAGTGAAACAAATCTTATGGTACTATTGTTGTAAAGTAACTTAACCATCATTACAAACCTGTTATATGAAATAAAAACTACGACTAATCCACTTCCGACAACATTCAGACATT